AAAGTGGTGTTAAACCCAACTCACTCACTCACTCACTTATACAAGTGTCAGGGTTGACTCAAGGTAGATTTGTGAGAAAACATTGTGAAATGAGCTGATAAACTATCTAAATTAGAATTGGGAATATTACAATTTTGAAACTACCTTGTTTTAATAAGATAACCTGTTTAATTTTCCCTAAAAGTCTTGAATGGAAAATTTAAAACTGACAATTTTATACTTTTATAAGCATCTGAAAAAAGCAATTGTATATTGAGTAGTCTTGACTTTTCCAACATGCAATATTTATTTAGACAGCATCCTAAGCACTTATCCATAATACAATGAAAATAGTATTCTGACCTCATATTCTGAGGGCTTGTATCATTTAAATCTCCTTACACATTTTTAGGGTTCGCACAGATTTGAAAAGTGCTCGAATTTAACCATGTCTGATGAAAAGTGCTTAATTGTGCCATTTTACCATCATTGTGCTGGAAAAGTACTTGAATTTTATTGACTGTTCTTTAAAAGTGCTGGATTTTAATTAAAATTTGTCTAGCTATAACCATGATAACAAAATTGCTACCAGACATTATTATTGATCAAGTTTTAATGTGTTGTTTACTTCCTGTTGCTTACGGGGCGGTCGGGTAGCCTAGTGGTTAAAGCGTTCGCTTGTCACGCCGAAGACCCGGATTCGATTCCCGACATGGGTACAATGTGTGAAGCCCATTTCTGGTGTCCCCCGCCATAATATTGGTGGAATATTGCTAAAAGCGGCATAAAACCATACTCACTCACTCCTGTTGCTTACAACATGGAAAGAAAGACTGTCTTCTGTCTATTATGGGCTATGTGCGTTAATTCCTTTGAGCATTGTATTTCTGAATATAGTCTAATTAATGTTATCACGATCTGCACTTGAAACTCTAGACTGGTTCCTGCTCCTGCGACAGACCAAGTGTTGGATACAGGCACCAGTCAAATTGGGGAACCAGTTAGATCATGGGGAAGAGTGTTTTTAATTGCGCTTGGGTTTCAAAGTACCAATGGGTGTGCAAAATAAAAGACAGAAACAAGGCATTGCGTTATATCTGTCGGAAGGAAATTTATATATTTGTGTAATGAGGGAAAGAATTGGGCATTGGAGAATAAGGAGAAAAGAGTCCTTAAATACATAGTGTTCACTTGAAAAGTGCTTAAAAGGTGCTTGAAGTTAAGAATCCAACAATCTGTATGAACTCTGATCTTGTGATGCTTTACAGAACAAACATATGAGACATTTGTGGGATGCAGTTTTTTGATAAATGAAGTGTAAATGTAGTGATACACTGTTCGGAACTGTTTCTACCCATGGATGTATTCACCTCTGGTTATGTAACGGATGAACTCAGGTTAAAAAAAAAGGCGCTGTGGGTTAACATACTGAATTTGTGCTAAGTTAATTGAGGATTTCACATATCTTGATAAGTCATCCACGCAGTTTCTATAAGACATGTTAATCTTCAAAACCAAGATTTGGATACCGTATTCGACGTAATGAGCGCCACGCTCTAATAAGCGCCCACGGCAATATTTGTTAATATATTGGCTTGTGAACAATCCCAATTAGCACCCCTTTCGATTGATCAATGTACACAAGACTTATTTATTCGTGTATAATACGAACTCGTGTGTTATATGCACCCTTAATTATGGGCAATTAAATTCTTGAAAAATATATCTGTCGTATATAAACATTTCAGGCTGACAGCATAAACCATGAAATTTATCTTTCAACTCTGTTTTTTTTTTTCTCACCAAAATAATATTCTAATAAGGGCCCCCTATTTCTAAAAGTGAGAGTGCCCTGGGCGCTTGTTATGTCGAATACAGTATTTTATTTTGAAAACTAACTCAGCGATTGAAACAAACCTTTAAGTCCACTCTTCCTTATAGTGATAACATATACCGGTAGTAAAACCCTTACAGATGGCAAAATTCTACAATCAGCGTTAGAAATTGGCACTAGTCCTGTAGTCCTTACCAAACTGCCCAATAGTAAAGGTATCCTAAGGACGAGTAGAAATTGGCCCATTTTAAGGGTTTTGCTATATGTTATCATCATAAGGACTAGTGGACAAAAACTGTTAGTTTCTAACCCTGACAATCCTTATGATTTGTTTGATAGGTATTACTTTGAAGTTGAGGGACGACAATGTAGAGACATTTTATGGATAACAACTTCTTTATTTACTGTAAAGGCGACGTTTCTGTATAGATCCTTTTACTGTTGTCAAGCAAGTCATCAACCAAGTCAGTGGGCCTGACCATCCAATCCCTTCAGTTGCTTCTTACGACAAGGATTTCCTTAGAAACAATAAAAAAGGTTATATGAAATAGGCCGAACAAATGAACAATTGTATTGATCAATATATTTCATTTTGTGATATCTTTTAAAACTATCCACAGTCTTGCATAGTTTAGATAACTATTTAATGTTTTATCTCATTATTAATGTGTTGCTATTGTGTGTAGATAGCAGTGAGTGAGTGAGTGAGTGAGTTTGGTTTTACGAGGCTACCCGACCGCCCCGTGTAGATAGCAAGGCAGAAAGCATTTTTGGACTCATTTTTCTCTATCAGTTTCATCATCCAATAAAGGAATTCATATTGAAGATGGTGTTTGTTAGTTGGTGTGTAGCTGATATGTGACTTGATAAAAAATATTACAAGAAAAAGCAAAAGAAGTCCTCAGGTCTGAGTGAAGGAAGGGCTGTAAAATACCTAGAACCTGACTCACCTGTCATGTTTGTTAAACATGTCATATAATGTATAATATAATATATATAATATGTTTTGTTTTGTTTGTTTGTTTAACGCTCCCAGCAATATTCCAGCTATATGACAGCGGTCTGTAAATAATCATGTCTGAAGATCAATTTTAACCTGGAACTTCACCGGTCTCATGTTTAGTTTTTTGTTTGTTTGTTTGTTGGTTAACGCTTCACTTAGCAATATTCCAGCTATATGATGGCGGTCTGTAAATAATCGAGTCTGGACCAGACAGTCCAGTGATTGACATCATGAACATAGATCCACACAATTGGGACCAATGACATGTATCAACCAAGTCAGCGAGCCTGACCACCCGATCCCGTTAGTCGCCTTTTATGACAAGCATAGTCGCCTTTCAGGCAAGTATGGGTTGCTGAAGACCTATTCTACCTCAGAATCTTCATTGGTCCGGTCTCATGTAATACATGTAATGCCAAACATTTCTTTTCTGGTAAGAAGTACACTCAATGTTCAGGATGCCAGTGGTTGACTTTCTTCAATCTAACAATGAAATCCCCACATGTAATAGGCTTGAAGGCTTTGGGGGCGGTCGGGTAGCCTAGTGGTGTAAGCATTCGCTCGTCACACCAAAGACCCGGGTTCGATTCCCGACATGGGTACAATGTGTGAAGCCCATTTCTGGTGTCCCCGCCGTACTGGAATATTGCTAAAAGCGGCGTAAAACCATACTCATTCACTTACTTGAAGGCTTCATGCATGTGCAATCATGAGACATCAGTAAACTTCTTTGTAATCAAGTGAAACCTGCCACCTGTTGCCAGCCTGAGACCCAAACTACTGCCAGCCATTGACCCCCAAATTTATTGCTGAGAATGCCTTGGAATAGAAGATAGTAGGGCTGGGACTAGTCCAAATTTACTACCTGGGTTGACTTGGTTGATGCATGTTATTGTATCCCAATTGCCTGGATCGATGGTCATGATGTTAATCACTGGAATGTCTGGTCCAGCCTTGACTATTTACAGCCCGACGTCATATAGCTGGAATATTGCTGAGTGCTGCATTAAAACAACAAACAAACAAAAAGCTGTGTGTAGGATAAAACATGTCTGAGGGGTTTTATGAGATTTAAAATCAGAATCTGAGGGTTTTAAATCTCATAAAAAGCCAAGGAGAACTGTTTTATCTAACTTATAAACTACAGAAAGAATTTTTTAACATTTATCATCAATTATATGTTTCAAACATACTTTCTATGAGCCTAAGGAAACGGGAGTAAAATATCTCTTGCTGGTATACAGGTCCTTGAAAAAGAGATTCTTAAAAGCATTGTGATTTATCAGCACCTCTGTAGCCTAGGGCTACGCTTTTAAAGGTTGCAAGTTTGATCCCCGGAAATATAAAGAAAACATTTATCTTTTGATTTCACAAGTGCATTTATAATGCGTCAGATTCCATTCACCAAGTGGATGCTTATAGCGCTACACTATTATTACCCCGGTCAATGGATCAGTAAGCACTCGATTTTCATTCTCAGCTCCCTGGGGAGTATACAACCCAAGCTGCCTGTGAGGCACTAGAAGGTCATTGTGCACATCATTATGTACATTGTGATCAAATGCAAAATAATCTGTATAAGAAACATTCACACACAGTTTACATGTAGAACCAAAAATCGGTCAGTTGTAAAATGACACATTAAATGGTGCTTTTGAGGCTGAGTGAGCTAGTGTTTATTAAAGAATGTGTTGATTGTATAAGGGTGAAATTAACCTTTTGTTTTGTTATGTGTATTGTACAAAAACACCACAAGTTGAGATATATATTAATTTCGTGTGAAATCAAATTACATTGTACAAGTGCATGATAACGTTACATAGGATCTGTCCTTAGCAAGATTGCACTGCCATACGTTTTATATTACATTGTTTCTGCAATATTTAGTTTATGTATATCAAATCATCTGCCTTTTAGAGAATTGTAATTGTTCTGAATGGGATTAGGGGCGGTCGGGTAGCCTAGTGTTTAAAGCGTTCGCTCGTCACGCCGAAGACCCGGGTTCGATTCCCGACATGGGTACAATGTGTGAAGCCCATTTCAGGTGTCCCCCGCTGTGATATTGCTGGAATATTGCTAAAAGCGGTGTAAAACCATACTCACTCACTCACTCTGAATGGGATTACAGTTTTAAAAGAATATATAATATATTATGTTATTCCTGATTATTTTCTTTCATTTCAGACCACATTTGGGCTACATTTTGATGATCCAACATGGAAGAGGCATATGAACTCACTGAAACCCTTGGTACGTTACTTGGAAAATCATTACCGTATTCGACATATTAAGCGCCCCCCGCTCTAATAAGCGCCCACGGCGTTATTTGCTAATATATTGGCTAGTGAATAATCCCAGTTAGCACCCTTTCCGATTGATCAATGTACACAAGACTTATTTATTCGTGTATAATACGCACTCGTTTGTTATATGCACCCTTAATTATGGGCAATTAAATTCTCAAAAATATATCTATCGTGTATAATACACACAGATTCTTCTTTTATATAATTTCAGGCTGTCAGCATAAACCACAAAATTTACAATCTTTCAACCTCGTGTTTAATCTCACCAAAATAATATTCTAATAAGAGCCCCCTATTTCTAATTTTAAGAGCGCCATGGGCACTTTTTACGTCGAATACGGTACTTACATTAGCACATGATAAAGTGTCAGATAGTTGCATCATCCCGATTTGTTTTTTACATCTTTAAATGAGTGATAAAAAAGGAAGAATAATGTTGATGTTTGTTTACTTAACAGAAAAGTCACATGTAGAACTTTAGAAATGAATGTGACCCGTGAAGATTCTGGGGTAGAATAGGTCTTCAGCAACCCATGCTTGCCGTAAAAGGTGACTATGCTTGTCGTAAAAGGCGACTAATGGGATCGGGTGGTCAGGCTCGCTGACTTGGTTAATGCATATCATCGATCCAAATTACGTGGATTGATGCTCATGATATTAATCACTGGATTGTCTGGTCCAGACTCGATTATTTACAGACCGCCGTCATATAGCTGGAATATTGCGTAGTGTGGCGTTAAGCAACAAACCAAACCAAAAGAAATGAATGTATATATTTTATGTTTCCTTTTGTTTTCTCCTTAACTTTGGTATTATAAACTTGTGATATTTCATGATAGCAGCACTCAATTCTCTGTTGTCCCTCTGAAGTTGAGCAGGTTGTGACCCTGCACAGCTTTGATGTCTGTGTTGTGAGCTCACTAGATGAGAATAGAAAACTAATTTCATCTGTACTGGAAAGTTTTTTTCCGCGAAGTCTGTAACAAGAACATGTTTCTGTATCTTAATAAAAGTCTGGGACAGTCTGCCATTTGATTTAAAAAATATATAAAAAGGTCAGATGGAACTTAAAAAAAATGCAGCAGCATTGTTAAAAAGTCTCGAGGCAGAGCCCTTACATAACAAAATCCTATTATTGACAAATGACATGGTCGCTCGTTACCAGCGGACTGACTGGTGACATTTTCCCAGTTTAAGCGTACTGCTGCTGGGCTATTTGCACTGTGGACCTCCAGGACTGAAATGTCATGTCAAGTGCCCTACATATCACGGCAGGTCACATCAACACATGCAGACCCATTATGTGATTACACCAGTGATTAACAATACGGGACTCCTGTGTGTTTGGGTCGTGACCTGTTGGGGACACCAGGACATGGTGTAGCCTCACGACACTCCATGTGGGGAGAACTATAAATACTACAGGAATCTGAGGTCATGTCAAGCAGATCTAGATCACTAGCGGATATGTGATAATGCATTCGCTCTGAAAGCCTGGTTTTTGCTGGGAGAGTCCATTAGTTTCTCTAGTCCAGTCCAAGTAGGTGCTAGGTACGACAGGTTGTGTAGGCTGGCTCTACCTGAGAGGCCTAAGGTTTATGTTAGATTTCGTTCAAGTGAATGTGTGGCAAGGCTAGTGATTATGTGTCTAGTTACCGATAATGGCTTCCTGACTGGCTTTAAACGTCATAGGCTCCATTGTTGTACTTGTGTAGTTGTTGTGAGAAGGTGTGTACATGCACACTTATTTGCTAATTAGATAAAAAATGTTCTACTGAAATATAGTTCTTTGGAAGGTTAAATAATAATACCGTATTCGGCGTAATAGGTGCCCAGGGCGCTCTCAAAATTAGAAATAGGGGGCTCTTATTAGAATATTATTTTGGTGAAAAAAAAAAGAGTTGAAAGATATATTTCGTGGTTTATGCTGACGGCCTGAAATGTTTATGTACGACAGATATATTTTTGCAGAATTTAATTGCCCATAATTGAGGGTGCATATAGCACACGAGTTCGTATTATACGCGTATATATAAGTCTTCTGTACACTGATCAATCGGAAGGGGTGCTAACTGGGATTTTCACTAGCCAATATATTAGCAAATATCACCGTGGGCGTTTATTACATCGAATACGGTAATTCTAAATGAGAACCCTTGAGTAATGGGGAATCCTTGGATGTCCTAATTTCAGAGCTGAAAGGGGTCCATGAATATAGGCTGATTGTTTTATGTTTTTACATAAGGGTATGTAAGAGAGATGAGTCCAATAGTCAGGTAATAGGGATAAGACTGTGAGGACCGCAAGTCTTTCTCCAGTACAGTTATATCGTACAAAAACCACTAGTCTGATGTCAGTTGTTAACTTGAAGTGTCCACCCCTATAATACCTTGGGACCGCTCATATAATACGGGAGTGGGTGTGGGGTTTTATGATATAACATTTATACTTAGTTTTAATATAATAATTCAATCCACAGCAAGTGCTTTTATAAGTTATCATGGTGTAACATTTATACAAATTTTCATATAATTATAGAACAGCAAGTAACATATGTTAGGATCCAGGAAAAATGCAGATACAAAATATTAGTAGTTTCAATTATAGTGATTGAGTGAGTGAGTTGGGTTTAACACCGCTTTTAACAGTATTCCAGTTATATCGCGGCGTGTCAGCTTAATGTGGGAGGAAAGTCCGAAGTGATACAGGTCTCAGACGTTTACCACTTCGGTGAAACCCACGAGCACGGGCATGGTGCTGACAAACCTAGAAACATAATTGGGGCGAACCGGTATTCGAACCCACAATCATAGGTTTCTGGCGTGCCCAAGGGACGCAACTCTGCACAGAGAATCGCGGCACCTTAGAAGACTGGGCCACCTGTGCCCCCAGTTTCAATTATAGCTTTTAGATAGACACTAGCCTATTGTAACAGGAACCCATCTCCCAGATATACAATTTCTGTCTTATTGAAGAGTATGTCTGGGAGATGCATGTGTGTCGCTATATACATAAGTGCAATAATCTTAAGGATGACGTTAAACCCCATTTCACCTCACCTCACATAGATTGATGATATAATAACATCTTTATCACATACTTATTATTTTCAGTGCTGGCATTTCTTTGAGTTGGATTAATATCATAATAACTTCACTGACACTTCTATCTGCAGGAGCTTCCTTATTTGTATGCCATTACAGAGTACATATTCCCATGCTTTACAAACATGAGCAGCTCTTAAAACGGTTATAAAGCTGTCTGTTACTATGACAGTGTCACGTTATTGATTCAGAAGTGTGGTGATTGCTGAACTGGAGTGAGGAGAGCAGCTTCAGATTACAGTACACACGAGGGCATTTAAAGTGCAGATCGGGTCATGACCAGGTTGTGACAGGGTCCCCTTAGTACACACAGGGAGAATCCAGGCCTTGCTGATCACAGCACACAGTGCTGTACTGTTGACTGGGTGCAAGCCACTTGTCTAGAACTCGGTCAAACGGTCATTGTTCTCTTGATGACTTAGATTTATTTGTATGGCATGGTGTTGATATGAGGGTCGGATTGATTACTGAGTAATGGATTGGTGTCGGCCATGATAGTTGTGGAGTGTGAGCTCTGTGTTGGTTGTAGCTGCATCTTCCACACACAGGAAGGACTTCTTTGATAAGCTGCATATTGAATACATGTACTACTGCTGTACGATGTAATGAAGAATTATGAGGAATTATGGATATCTGTCTCTATGTTGTTAATCACGAGCATATGATGATGGACTTACGGCATTCATTCACAGGGACACATTATCCGTATCTTATTCTACATATTACTCAATGGCATTTATAGAGATAATGAAGAAAAAAACTATGATATTTCATCCCTACTGGCTAGCGACCAGTTATTGCAGAGGACCAATTATCGCCAGCGCCCCATTATAGTGTGCACGTGATAGCAAATTATTTTTACTTTTGCTCGTTTTTATTAAAAGCGAGAAATATTTATCCGAAATTGATGAACAAAATGGACTCTTGTGAGGAAGTATATAAAAAAACCCACCATGATCACCTTGCTTGAATACAACTTTAGAAAAGACCCGTGGGTGATGTCACGTGACTAATTCACACGAAAATATAAATCAAACAACACGATGATGCACTTTCAGTTCTGTCATTGCTTGCTATCTGTCTGTCATTTCTTCCCCTATTTGAGCTATATTTCCAAAAATGCATTACCTGTAAATGGCAATGGCATAGGTAAATGGCAATGGACAAGGGGCAAATGGGAGGCTATTTCTATTCCTTTACCTATAAGTTCTAATTATTCGTCTAAGGTGCCGCGATTCTCTGTGCAGAGTTAGTCCCTTGGGCATGCCAGAAACCTATGATTGTGGGTTCAAATCCTGGTTCGCCTCGATTATGTTTTTAGGTTTGTCAGCACCATACCCGTGCTCGTGGGTTTCACCGAAGTGGTAAACGTTCCCCCCCCCCCCCCCGGCCTTCTGTTTACCTATCACTATCAGTGCTAATTACACCTGGCCTCCCTTGTGCCCAATGTCCATTGCCATTTACCTATCAGTGCTAATTTAGTCCTGGCTTCCATTTGTCCATAACTATCAGTGCTAATCACTGTAAAGTGTTGGCCACCATTGTCTATTGCTAATTGCTTTTCAGGGCCAATTATCTGTAAGCTTCCCTTGTTAAGTTTCCACCTTTTGTTATCTTACTACTTTTGTTGTTCTTACATGTACATATATATGCTCTCTGCCTCATATCATTCCTTCACGACCTGTGAAGATCCAGGGTAGAATAAGTCTTCAGCTACCCATCCTTGCCCTAAAAGGCGAATATGCTTGTCGTAAGAGACGACTGACGGGATCGGGTGGTCAGGCTCGCTGACTTGGTTGATGCATGTCATCAATCCCAATTGCGTGGATCGATGCTCATGTTGTCAATCACTGGATTGTCTGGTCCCGACTTGATTATTTACAGACCGCCTTCATATAGCTGGAATATTGCGTAGTGCAGCGTTAAACAACAAACAAACAAAAATTATTCCTTCACCCGATGAAGTAGTCAGCATGAAACTCTGAAACGTTGTGTTCCTCATAATAAAGAAGTTGACATCCATAAATTCTCTTCCTTCTTGCACTTCGTTTAATTGCAATTTTGATGGTAAGACCTCTTAGTGAACGGATGAAGGACCAAAAGTTGTCTGACTGCTGCTTGCCACACATCTCATTTCGTGACACTTTTCTGTAACACCAGTGAATGAAATGGGCTGGTCCATTGCTTGTCCTCATTAATAAATGAACTGGTCCGGGACCTCTGACATGGATTTTCAACCCCTGCTTCCTATTCTCCAGCACTATTCACTCACTCACTTGTCGTGTAACTCCTTCACATACCGTGGCTTGAATTGTGGGAGGATTTATTGGTTAGTTAACTATTGATTAGTAACATGATAGGTTTACAGAGGTTATACTGATTGAGTAAATAAACTCATATTATCACTGGAGGCCTAGTTGTTTAGGTTTGGGTCAGATAAAAAGGTATTGAAATTTGAATGCTTGTAACATCCTGCAAAACTTGTTATCTGACATGTAATTATATTTGGGTGCACTGATGTCAGCGTGGTGTGTTATAGTGCTGTGAAGTGCAGACAGGTAGCAAACAGTGCAGGAAGGTGGTGAATCGGTCTGCCCCACACTGATATGGCAGGAAATCAGGACGTGAAATGAATACGGACTAGTACAGACAGGGTACTCTGTCAGGGCTGAGGTCAGGTTGAAATATTGGAATGAATTGCACTGCACTGGTTCAGGCTGCAAGTTCATCAGACAAGCTGTACCTTGACGTGTCCTCTGTCTGTCTGGGTTGGTCTGGTTTAGGTCTATTAACTGAGTGATTGTAGTTTGTCTGTCAGGTCAGGTGTGCAGTAGATGCTGCTTGCAGTGTATGTATTTGTGCATGTGCAGTTTGAATGCCTCAGAGGTCATGTTGCATTTTGGTGCACTCTTTGCACACAACAGTTTGATTGTTTGTTGTTTAACGCTGCACTCAGCAGTATTCCAGCTATATGACGGCCGTCTGTAAATAATCGGGTCTGTACCAGACAATCCAGTGATTGATATCATGAGCATCGATCCACGCAATAGGGATACGATGACATGCATCAACCAAGTCAGCGAGCCTGACCACCCAATCCTGTGAGTCGCGTCTTACGACAAGCATATTCACCTTTTACGGCTTGCATTGGTTGCTGAAAACCTATTCTACCCGGGATCTTCACAGGTATTTTTACACAACAAAATTAAAGGGGGTCCTGGGGTGATTTTTTTTGCCATAGAATTGGAATCCCTTGAATGTTCAACTTTTAAAATTATGACAATGCCCCCTGACTTTCATGCTTAAAAAAACACAGCGTATATGTTTTACCACAACCGTAAGATGGGATTGTGCGCTCAGGTGCATCGGGACAAAACTTCTTAAATCAAATGACTGTTTCTTACTACAGTTGAAATTGAAATTGTGAATTGAAAACCACATACCGTAGAATATGGGAATGTATTTTTTAATGAAGTGGCATTGTGAAGGGTATGGTTGTATTTGTGACATAAAGCTGAACTGAAGGGTCTTCTGAGCCGCAATGGCAGAAAAGAATCCATTAAGTTGAAGCTTAATGTGAGTGAGTGAGTGAGTGAGTGAGTGTGTGTGTGAGTGTACCACTACTTTGATCAGCCTCCTAGTTGTATGATGTCATGTAAGCTTAATGTGATGAAGGCCTTCAGTGAGTGAGTGAGTGAGTACCACTGCTTTGATCAGCCTCCTAGTTATATGATGTCATGTAAGCTTAATGTGATGAAGGCCTTCAGTGAGTGAGTGAGTGAGTGTACCACTACTTTGATCAGCCTCCTAGTTGTATGATGTCATGTAAGCTTAATGTGATGAAGGCCTTCAGTGAGTGAGTGAGTGAGTACCACTGCTTTGATCAGCCTCCTAGTTATATGATGTCATGTAAGCTTAATGTGATGAAGGCCTTCAGTGAGTGAGTGAGTGAGTGTACCACGGCTTTGATCAGCCTCCTAGTTATATGATGTCATGTAAGCTTAATGTGATGAAGGCCTTCAGTGAGTGAGTGAGTGAGTGAGTGAGTGTACCACTACTTTGATCAGCCTCCTAGTTATATGATGTCATGTAAGCTTAATGTGATGAAGGCCTTCAGTGAGTGAGTGAGTGAGTGAGTGAGTGAGTGTACCACTACTTTGATCAGCCTCCTAGTTGTATGATGTCATGTAAGCTTAATGTGATGAAGGCCTTCAGTGAGTGAGTGAGTGAGTGTACCACTACTTTGATCAGCCTCCTAGTTATATGATGTCATGTAAGCTTAATGTGATGAAGGCCTTCAGTGAGTGAGTGAGTGAGTGAGTGAGTGAGTGAGTGTACCACGGCTTTGATCAGCCTCCTAGTTATATGATGTCATGTAAGCTTAATGTGATGAAGGCCTTCAGTGAGTGAGTGAGTGAGTACCACTGCTTTGATCAGCCTCCTAGTTATATGATGTCATGTAAGCTTAATGTGATGAAGGCCTTCAGTGAGTGAGTGAGTGAGTGTACCACTACTTTGATCAGCCTCCTAGTTATATGATGTCATGTAAGCTTAATGTGATGAAGGCCTTCAGTGAGTGAGTGAGTGAGTGTACCACGGCTTTGATCAGCCTCCTAGTTATATGATGTCATGTAAGCTTAATGTGATGAAGGCCTTCAGTGAGTGAGTGTACCACGGCTTTGATCAGCCTCCTAGTTATATGATGTCATGTAAGCTTAATGTGATGAAGGCCTTGAGTGAGTGAGTGAGTGAGTACCACTGCTTTGATCAGCCTCCTAGTTATATGATGTCATGTAAGCTTAATGTGATGAAGGCCTTCAGTGAGTGAGTGAGTGAGTACCACGGCTTTGATCAGCCTCCTAGTTATATCATGTCATGTGAGCTTAATGTGATGAAGGCCTTCAGTGAGTGAGTGAGTGAGTGAGTGTACCACTACTTTGATCAGCCTCCTAGTTATATGATGTCATGTAAGCTTAATGTGATGAAGGCCTTCAGTGAGTGAGTGAGTGAGTGAGTACCACGGCTTTGATCAGCCTCCTAGTTATATCATGTCATGTGAGCTTAATGTGATTGTTGTCAGTGTCAGTGTATCAGATCTTTGTGTGAAGAATCCTGGAGTGGTTGGTAGGTGTGAAAAAGTAAAAAAACAGTAAAGACATTTCAGATTTCTTTGTTCTTTAAGAGGGAATGACTTAAAATTTAACTTGCATCAGCATTGTTTCATCCATTGAGCAATGAGTGTTCTTCAAGAAGCTCTTTGAATGTCATGTGTGCCGCGTTAATGACACCATTCTCATTTTTCTATGCTCAATTTGTATACAGTGAATATGTAAGTTAGCAGATGGAATAAAAGATGTTGTGTTTTCAAGATCTTGGAACTTTTATCGGGTCAGATCCAGAAACCAATTTTTTTGTAAGAGAAATTCCTTAGTGTCAACATCCATGTCACATTCTTGTCCTAATATAACCTTTCATGTTACTGAAACATTTCACTTATGGATAGTTTTATGTATAGTATTCAAAAGTAGTTGAAGAACACCTGATTCTTTCATATTACTGTATTTGATCTGTCATTTCATGACAGGTTAACTATATGAATATGGGACCCGTGAAGATCCGGGGTAGAATAGGTCTTCAGCAACCCATGCTTGCTGTAAAAGGAGACTATGGTTGTCGTAAGAGGCGACTAACGGGATCAGGTGGTCAGACTAGCTGACTTGGTTGATGCACGTCATCGTATTCTAATTGCATGGATTGATGCTCATGATGTCAATCACTGGATTGTCTGGACCAGCTGACTCGATTATTTACAGACCGCCGTCATATGACTGGAATATTTCTTAGTGCAGCGTTAATCAACAAATAAAAAAATATATGAATATGGAAGATCAAGTGTTTATGAATATGGAAGAATTGGGTGTTCTTTAACTTCTTTTGAGTAGTATATACTCTCAACCTCACCCAGATATTCCCTGATATGAATTTATAATACTTTATGACAGACCTTCATTCCAAAATATTGCAAAATCTAATAAAATTGGATGTTATATATTAATATGTTCAGTTTAGCCAGAGGGGTGTTCGGGTAGCCTAGTGGTTAAGGCGTTCGCTCGTCACGCCGAAGACCCTGGTTCGATTCCCGACATGGGTACGATGTGTGAAGCCTATTTCTGGTGTCCCCTGCCGTGGTATTGTTGGAATATTGCTAAAAGTGGCGTAAAACCATACTCACTCAGGTTAGCCTGAGACCCTAACAGCTCTCTTTCTGTGTTGTATCAACCTGTGATTTCACCTGCACGTCCTTGTTACAGGGCCTGAACATCCTCTTGAACACATGCAACCTGGCCACGGTGGAATGGTACACCCAGTTCAGTGATCACGTCGCCTGTGCCGCACTGGAACATGATGAGACAGTCGCAGTGGTCAACAGACGGTCAGTATCATCTGGAAGCACATGCAGCAAATATGGCAGATAGTCTCCCACAATGTACATAGGTCATGCCTCAAAAAATGTCTTAAACCCAACTTGTCCTGTAGGTATTATTTTGTACTTGACCTGCAATAATTTCTCTTGCCTTGTAACATTTGATACTATTTTCTGTTATTGTAACAATTTTTTTGTAATTCACCTTTGAGTTGAGGATATTTGCGATAGACAGTTCAAAATAATTCAGTCACTGCCATCTGCATTCATCTCCACCCATTCAAAGTCACTCAGCCATGAACATTTTGTTTTCGTTCTTTACAGTCATACTGCTTTTTAAAAATAAATTCTTTTTTTTGCCTGTGTGGTAATCAAATCATGTCAACCTCACCATTCCCGATTAAAAAAAAAACAGCCATTACCCTCGCAAATCATTCACTTTTACTTTGACATGAGTTGCCTACAACAAAAATAATAAATATAATTGCTTCCCTTTAAAAAATAGTTTTGAAATCTGCGCAGATGCACTTTTTGTTTATTTCTTCAACAGAAAGTTGCCAAGTTTGCCATCTATTTATGATATAAGCGACATGTAGTTTGTTATTATTACCACGAATGAATGAAAACATATTTTAGGTTCGAAATTATCCTGCATATATTATTGAAAATGATTAGAGATGAATTGATACGATTGAAATAAATGTAATCGCCCTGGAAGACAAGCGTTTCTTCATTTCTTCTCACCCTGCATATGCTTCCACTCATCAACACGAGTGGATGAGTCAATTTTTCAAGCCCTGTAGGAGCAGGGTAGATATTATCAGCATCTTTGACTGGTAAGGCTAAAAGCCACAATGAAACAGTTAATTATACAGACATAGGGCCATTACTGCCATTAATGCCGTTACAGGTACTACCATTATTATTACCCATGAAGGAAAGTAAAGACACAGGCTGACCGAATCTTAGGATTAGACTAGCTCTCAGTTGTCTTTTGGCAACATTTTCAGTAGATTTTAGTGTTAATATAGGTATGGACTTTTATTATGGATTTTCAAATGAAATATGGTTGTCTAGGAGACAGTTGTATATGGTGAATACAGTTTGTATGTTCTGAGTCTTGGTGAAGACCTTTCAACACTAACAGGATTTATTCATGAAAGACAGATGCTCAATACTTCCTAGTTGCTACTCAGTCTTTTTTTCTGATCAAATATAGCAATATGTTAGTTTCGTAATCTCTGTTAGAGACATCAGCTCAAAATTGGCCTATTACTGGAACAGCTTCACATAACATTTCAACCTATAATCGAGGATACAGTTATTTGCGGCAATACATTCATGTCACGTCACTTTCCTATGGGCTGCTTCACGAATCAGGTGGTCAGGCTCGCTGACTTTGGTTGATGTATGTCATCGTATCCCAATTGCGTGGATCGATGCTCATGATGTCAATCACTGGATTGTCTGGTCCAGACTCGATTATTTACAGACCACCGTCATATAGCTGGAATATTGCGGAGTGCGCTGTTAAACAAACAAACAAACAAACAAACAAACAAACATAATAAAATGGAACAATTGGAATGTCTGGACAATAATGTAATTACTGAAAATAATTTCACCTATGTCCTTGTTCTTATGGGAAATATAACATTATGACAGCTTATAATCATCTGCTTTGTGTGCATGTTTATAAATTGTTTGATAAATACAAGGTGAAAAACATGCTCTCACCCCTCTTTGCAAACCTAAATGTATGTCAGACTGTGTATTTTAATGTGTTACTTCATTGGCACCCTCTCATTTTGTCGGTTTCATAAACACAACTTGTAGACTTTAGCAATTAAGAAAGTTTTAATTGACGAAGATGGTGATGGTATTTTCATCGTGAGACCACATTTTCATAATGAAGGGGTCCTGGTGTCCTTATGGTTTCTGTTACAGTACATTAGTCTAGGATCCTCCCAACTTCTAACATAGGAATGATGACAAGGCCCCCTTGATGTTTATTCTTAATTTTGAACACATCTTTTCTGTTTTCTCTAGGTGTATGTGTGACCTGGCAAAGGAGATTGGCTTCTCTCAGCAGGCCCTCCGTGGCTTCAGTCATGATGAGTGTCTCGGCATGTACAGACAAGTGGTGAGATGTCCCCTACACATATCAAAATGTACCTCACTTCCTCAGGACCTATGGACACAATGGACATGTGATGTTAAAAATAACCTTGCTTCCATAGGCCCTATGGACATGTATCCTAAACTCGTCAATGTACCTTGCTTCCATAGGCCCTGTGGACATGTACCCTAAACTCTGCCAATATACCTTGCTTCCATAGGCCCTGTGGACATGTACCCTAAACTCTGCCAATGTACCTTGCTTCCATAGGCCCTGTGGACATTTACCCTAAACTCATCAATGTACCTTGCTTCCATAGGCCCTGTGGACATTTACCCTAAACTCGTCAGTGTACCTTGCTTCCATAGGCCCTGTGGACATTTACCCTAAACTCATCAATGTACCTTTCTTCCATAGGCCCTGTGGACATTTACCCTAAACTCGTCAATGTACCTTGCTTCCATAGGCCCTGTGGACATTTACCCTAAACTCATCAATGTACCTTGCTTCCATAAGCCCTGTGGACATGTACCCTAAACTCGTCAATGTACCTTGCTTCCATAGGCCCTGTGGACATTTACCCTAAACTCGTCAATGTACCTTGCTTCCATAGGCCCTGTGGACATGTACCCTAAACTCGTCAATGTACCTTGCTTCCATAGGCCCTATGGACATTTACCCTAAACTTGTCAATGTACCTTGCTTCCATAGGCCCTGTGGACATGTACCCTTAACTCTGCCAATGTACCTTGCTTCCATAGGCCCTCTGGACATTTACCCTAAACTCGTCAATGTACCTTGCTTCCATAGGCCCTGTGGACATTTACCCTAAACTCGTCAATGTACCTTGCTTCCATAGGCCCTATGGACATTTACCCTAAACTTGTCAATGTACCTTGCTTTCATAGGCCCTGTGGACATGTACCCTTAACTCTGCCAATGTACCTTGCTTCCATAGGCCCTGTGGACATTTACCCTAAACTCGTCAATGTACCTTGCTTCCATAGGCCCTGTGGACATTTACCCTAAACTCGTCAATGTACCTTGCTTCCATAGGCCCTATGGACATTTACCCTAAACTTGTCAATGTACCTTGCTTTCATAGGCCCTGTGGACATGTACCCTTAACTCTGCCAATGTACCTTGCTTCCATAGGCTCTGTGGACATTTACCCTAAACTCGTCAATGTACCTTGCTTCCATAGGCCCTGTGGAAATGTACCCTAAACTCGTCAATGTACCTTGCTTCCATAGGCCCTGCGGACATTTACCCTAAACTCTGCCAATGTACCTTGCTTCCATAGGCCCTGTGGACATTTACCCTAAACTCGTCCATGTACCTTGCTTCCATAGGCCTTGTGGACATGTACCCTAAACTCGTCAATGTACCTTGCTTCCATAGGCCCTGTGGACATGTACCCTAAACTCGTCAATGTACCTTGCTTCCATAGGCCCTGTGGACATGTACCCTAAACTCGTCAATGTACCTTGCTTCCATAGGCCCTGTGGACATGTACCCTAAACTCGTCAATGTACCTTGCTTCCATAGGCCCTATGGACATTTACCCTAAACTTGTCAATGTACCTTGCTTCCATAGGCCCTGTGGACATGTACCCTAAACTAGTCAATGTATCTTGCTTCCATAGGCCCTGTGGACATTTACCCTAAACTCTGCCAATGTACCTTGCTTCCATAGGCCCTGTGGACATGTACCCTAAACTCGTCAATGTACCTTGCTTCCATAGGCCCTGTGGACATGTACCCTAAACTCGTCAATGTACCTTGCTTCCATAGGCCCTGTGGACATTTACCCAAAACTCTGCCAATGTACCTTGCTTCCATAGGCCCTGTGGACATGTACCCTAAACTCTGCCAATGTACCTTGCTTCCATAGGCCCTGTGGACATTTACCCTAAACTCGTCAATGTACCTTGCTTCCATAGGCCCTGTGGACATGTACCCTAAACTCGTCAATGTACCTTGCTTCCATAGGCCCTGTGGACATTTACCCTAAACTTGTCAATGTACCTTGCTTCCATAGGCCCTGTGGACATTTACCCTAAACTCGTCAATGTACCTTGCTTCCATAGGCCCTGTGGACATTTACCCTAAACTCTGCCAATGTACCTTGCTTCCATAGGCCCTGTGAACATGGTTGGCTGGTTGTTTGTTGCTTAATGCCGCACTCAGCAATATTCCATGTCCACACTACTACAGAAAGAGTTGACATGGGTTTCAGCGTAGTGGGTCATGTTCAGGGACATCGGGGACTGCTGTGTTGAACAATATGCACTGACCATGTCCCACACTACTACAGAAAGAGTTGACATGGGTTTCAGCGTAGTGGGTCATGTTCAGGGACATCGGGGACTGCTGTGTTGAACAATATGCACTGACCATGTCCCACACTACTGCAGAAAGAGTTGACATTGGTTTCAGCGTAGTGGGTCATGTTCAGGGACATCGGGGACTGCTGTGTTGAACAATATGCACTGACCATGTCCCACACTACTGCAGAAAGAGTTGACATGGGTTTCAGCGTAGTGGGTCATGTTCAGGGACATCGGGGACTGCTGTGTTGAACAATATGCACTGACCATGTCCCACACTACTGCAGAAAGAGTTGACATGGGTTTCAGCGTAGTGGGTCATGTTCAGGGACATCGGGGACTGCTGTGTTGAACAATATGCACTGACCATGTCCCACACTACTGCAGAAAGAGTTGACATGGGTTTCAGCGTAGTGGGTCATGTTCAGGGATATCGGGGACTGCTGTGTTGAACAATAACCACTGACCGTGTCCCACACTACTGCATAAAGAGTTGACATTTGGTTGACTTAGGGGTTATAATATGGTAGTTTTCATATCACACCCCATTTTTTGGGTATGATATGAAAACTGCCATATAATAACCCTTTTAACATATACCATAACATCAAATTGTAAAATGTATCCATTCATAAAACATTTCCAAATTCTGTGTATGTCAATATCAACATGTTCACCTTGTTTGGAAGGCATGGGAAAAATAATCCGAGCAGACGATGTACAAATTGACGTAACTCTAAATTCTTACAACTTTGTCTGATATTGATCGCCCATTCAAAATGCATTGACGAAACCATATGAGCCCTCGCAGGTGTGGAACATGGGTCTGGTTATAACACCCCCCGTAATTTGACTGTCTCCATGTTGGCTCTATTGCACATGCAAAATACGACCCATGAAGATCCAGGATAGAATAGGTCTTCAGCAACCCATGCTAGTTGTAAATGGCGACTATACTTGTCTGAGAGGCAACTAACGGGATCGGGTGGTCAGGCTTGCTGACTTGGTTGATGCATGTCATGGTATCCCAATTGTGTGGATTGATGATCATGATATCAATCACTGAATTGTCTGGTCCAGACTTGATTGTATTTACAGACCGCTGTCATATAGCTGAAATATTAAGGAGTGCAGCATTATACAACAGATAGACAAACAAACAAACAAACATTCAAAATACCTCAAATCATTCATGAGTATATGATAAATTACTATATTGCCTGGCCTACTGTTGCAGCCTGATGAGGAGTCTGCCAAGGAGAGGGTGAACCGAGCCAAGTCCTTCATACAACACAAGATCCCAATGCCCAACATGGTATCTGTGGTCACAAGAGATAAAACATCAGGTGGGTTCTCCTCAATTTCTACCTGCGTGAGGTGATGGTACAGTCGTTTTTAGCACAGGTACTACAGAAATGTATCCCAGGTAACATTCTGTATGTACCGATATACCTTAACAAAATCGGAGCACAGAAATATTTCCTGGCTTGGCCTTGAAGTCAGCTGAGACTATTTCACAATGCACCAAACCAGTTCTTTGCAGATTTGAGAAAAATTAATCATGGCAGTACCTGGGTACATTTCTGTGGTACCTGACCCCCCACAACACAAGTGGTGACATGTGATAGTTCACCTACAGGAGCACACCTGGTTTTGTGAACACACAGGTTCTGATGTCATATGTGCAAAGTTCATTCCAGGAGAGAACTCGTCAGGTTTTGCTCTCTGTCTCAGTTATGTTAGCATTAGTGTTGCGATGGTGAGGGTATTTCTCAGTATCTCTGGGTTATTTTTGGAGTCAAGTAACATGGGGATTAACAGTTCACAATGGCAGAACACAACGTTTCAGAGTATATGCTTACTCCTTCATCACCTGAGTAAGCATATACTCCGAAACGTTGTGTTCCTCATAATAAAGAAATTGACATCCATATATTCTCTTCCTTACTGAGGATTAGTTGGTACCTTGACAACATGGCTTTTTGCAATCACGGTTGACGTCTGTTGATATTTGGGTGGGTTAATAATTCAGTGTATTATGTCTCCTCAAGTCTTTGAAAGGCATTCAGAAGGGATACACATAAGGAGCTTCTTTATTATGAGGAACACAACGTTTCGGAGTATATACTTACTCCTTCATCAGGTTAAAGGGGCACAGGTGGCCCAGTCTTCGCTGTGCAGAGTTGCGTCCCTTGGGCACGCCAGAAACCTATGATTGTGGGTTTGAATCCCGGTTTGCCCTGATTATGTTTGTAGGTTTGTCAGCACCATACCCGTGCTCGTGGGTTTCACCGAAGTGGTAGACGTCTGAAACCTGCATCACTTCGGGCTTTCCTCCATCATTAAGCTGACACGCCGTGATATAACTGGAATAATGTTAAAAGCAGCGTTAAACCCAACTCACTCACTCACTCACTCACTCATCAGGTGAACATTTTTCCCTGATGAAGGAGTGAGTATATTCTCCAAAACATTGTGTTCCTCATAATAAAGAAGTTCCTTATGTGTATCACTTCTGAATGCCTTTCATATATTCTCTTCTTTATTATGTCTTCATTCAAATCTGATGAGTGCCCGAGACACTAGCTGAGTTTTAGAAGACACATCACTATTTCCATCTCTCATATCACTCACTTAACACAGAATTTCACTCGCTTATGATCCTTAACTCAATAACCAATCATAATGCCTCTGCTGAACAAGAGGTTGACATAGATCTACACTTGAACTTCTGGCCTCACTCAAGCAAGCCCTCGATAACATTTCATTGAAGTAGAAGAATGTAATAAAACAAAATTTAGCTGGAAAAGATATTTTTGTGAATACAAAGCAGCAACAGAAACTAACAGTTTTAGTCCACTAGTCCTTACAATGACAACATGTAGCAAAACCCTTAAAAATGGCAAATTTCTACTAGTCCTTATGATACCTCAACTATTGAGCAGTTTTGCAAGGACAACAGACTTGGGCCAATTTCTAACGCTGACTAAGACAGGTGGAGGGTAGTCCTAATGATAACATGTGTTTGAGAAGATATATAATAAGGTCAGTCAAGCATTTGTCGTATTGGGGATTATTTCAATCATGGAAGAGCTGTGTAGATGTAATTAGATGGCTATGTATAGCAGCCTATCATTTGAACCAGGACGAGACCAAGCTATGTTAGCGCAGGGAATGGAGATGTTATAAATACACTGTATAACCAAGATGTCTGAAGGTTTAGTGAGCAGGGGCCTGTATCAAGATGTCTGAAGGTTTAGTGAGCAGGTGCCTGTATCAAGATGTCTGAAGGTTTAGTGAGCATATGCCTGTATCAAGATGTCTGAAGGTTTAGTGAGCAGGGGCCTGTATCAAGATGTCTGAAGGTTTAGTGAGCAGATGCCTGTATCAAGATGTCTGAAGGTTTAGTGAGCAGATGCCTGTATCAAGATGTCTGAAGGTTTAGTGAGCAGGTGCCTGTATCAAGATGTCTGAAGGTTTAGTGAGCAGGTGCCTGTATCAAGATGTCTGAAGGTTTAGTGAGCAGGTGCCTGTATCAAGATGTCTGAAGGTTTAGTGAGCATATGCCTGTATCAAGATGTCTGAAGGTTTAGTGAGCAGGGGCCTGTATCAAGATGTCTGAAGGTTTAGTGAGCAGGTGCCTGTATCAAGATGTCTGAAGGTTTAGTGAGCAGATGCCTGTATCAAGATGTCTGAAGGTTTAGTGAGCAGGTGCCTGTATCAAGATGTCTGAAGGTTTAGTGAGCAGGTGCCTGTATCAAGATGTCTGAAGGTTTAGTGAGCAGGTGCCTGTATCAAGATGTCTGAAGGTTTAGTGAGCAGGTGCCTGTATCAAGATGTCTGAAGGTTTAGTGAGCAGGGGTCTATATCAAGATGTCTGAAGGTTTAGTGAGCAGGTGCCTGTATCAAGATGTCTGAAGGTTTAGTGAGCAGGTGCCTGTATCAAGATGTCTGAAGGTTTAGTGAGCAGGTGCCTGTATCAAGATGTCTGGAGGTTTAGTGAGCAGGTGCCTGTATCAAGATGGCTGTAGGTTAAGTGAGCAGGTGCCTGTATCAAGATGTCTGGAGGTTTAGTGAGCAGGTGCCTGTATCAAGATGTCTGAAGGTTTAGTGAGCAGGTGCCTGTATCAAGATGGCTGTAGGTTTAGTGAGCAGGTGCTTGTATCAAGATGTCTGAAGGTTTAGTGAGCAGGTGTCTATATCAAGATGGCCGAAGGTTAAGTGAGCAGGTGCCTGTATCAAGATGTCTGGAGGTTTAGTGAGCAGGTGCCTGTATCAAGATGTCTGAAGGTTTAGTGAGCAGGTGCCTGTATCAAGATGGCTGTAGGTTTAGTGAGCAGGTGCTTGTATCAAGATGTCTGAAGGTTTAGTGAGCAGGTGTCTATATCAAGATGGCCGAAGGTTTAGTGAGCAGGTGCCTTTATCAAAATGTCTGAAGGTTTAGTGAGCAGGTGCCTGTATCAAAATGTCTGAAGGTTTAGTGAGCAGGTGCCTGTATCAAGATGGCCTTAGGTTTAGTGAGCAGATACCAATATCAAGATGTCCGAAGGTTTAGTGAGCAGGTGCCTTTATCAAGATGTCTGAAGGTTTAGTGAGCAGGTGCCTGTATCAAGATGTCTGAAGGTTTAGTGAGCAGGTGCCTTTATCAAGATGTCTGAAGGTTTAGTGAGCAGATACCTATATCAAGATGTCCGAAGGTTTAGTGAGCAGGTGCCTTTATCAAGATGTCTGAAGGTTTAGTGAGCAGATACCTATATCAAGATGTCTGAAGGTTTAGTGAGCAGGTGCCTGTATCAAGATGTCGGAAGGTTTAGTGAGCAGGTGCCTGTATGTCAATGTAATGTTCGTGTTGCAGGCATGTGTCAGCTGTTGACCCAGGGCACAGCGGACATAGTGCTGGACTGCTGCACCGACTACTGGACAGGCAATGATCTGTGTGTCCTCTCTGAGACCGATAAGTAGGTAGTCTGGACATAAGCTGTCCAGTTGTGAATGTCCGTTATGTTTCAGGAGTGATTAACACATTAGGCCAGGCTATCTCTTCTTTCATAACAAATAAACAATAATTGAAAATAATTCGTTTATGCCTATGTTGAATGTCTTTTGCTTGTAAATTTGTCTTTAATTTCAAGATCTGTTTTTAGGGAATTGACCCCATTTCAGCCCAGGAATTTGTTTGCCCCTGCAAAATAATTTCTTTTGACCAGGACGGTCTGTCTGGCCAGTTGTATTCTAGTCAGTCTAAGGGAGACAACTCTAGGGCCAGAGCTTGACTTTCTGCTTCTGTCAGTGAAGCATTGTATGATTTAGTATATTTGATCAAATTCTTTGAGAATGTGCTATCAGGAAAGGGTTATGTCATACGATAATCTACTCGTTTATGATTTTTAAGATTATGAGGATAGTTAAACATGTTTAATTTCAGGAAGAAGATAGTTGACTTCTACCATAGGAACAGCATGGCTGCCTACTGTACAGCGTTCTCCTACCGTCCCCTCGCACAGAACATCTCCCCATTGCTGGAGAGCATGTACATTGAGCTACCTGACAAGTTTGTCCGACTTCTCAACTCTGGCAGACCAAATAGGTACTTATATGTATTATCCTTTTGTATCCCTATCGGGCGGTCGGGTAGCCTAGTGGTTAAAGCATTCGCTTGTCACGCCGAAGACCAGGGTTCGATTCCCGACATGGGTACAATGTGTGAAGCCAATTTCTGGTGTCCCCCGCTGTGATATTGCTGGAATATTGCTAAAAGCGGCGTAAAACAATACTCACTCACTTGTATCCCTATCTTTGGGAGAACGCCTCAGTGGTCTGGTAGATAGAGCATCTGCCAGAAGATGAGAAGGTCGGTGGTTCGATCCCTGGCCGCGTCATACCAAAATATGTAAAAAGATGGTACTTTTTGTCAGCCTGCCTGGTGCTCAGCATTAACGGAATAAAACAAGGACTGGTCGGCTCAGAGTCAGTATACTGTGTCTGAGTGGGGTATTCATGTTAAACTGCGGCATGGTATCTCAGTGAGCTAGCACTATAAATCAGCATCAGTCCGGTCTAGTACAAGCAGCCACACAAACACATACACGTGCATGCACGTCGCTATATAAGTGCAATACTCTTTGACGCGACGTTAAACCCAATTTCACCTCACCTCAGAGTCAGTATATCCATAAACCATTTGCTTGTAACAGGATACATAGAAAACACAGGCAAAACTACAATTATTTACAGTCAATGCCCAAAGTCTCCCTATGGTAATTGATTGATGCCCGGCAGAATGTTGTTTGCGGTATTTGAGAATATGCTGTGTAAATGGTATTTATGTTTCTTTTGTTCTGTGACTGTAGAACATCTGAATGTGAAGATCCGGAGTCCTCTGCTTTGTTGACCAAGTCGTCAAGATCTTTCAGTGTGGACTCGTTGATGGAGAGTGAGAGTGTGTCTTCTATTGACGACGTCCCTGGGTGTCACCAGGCCCAGAGTAACCAGGTCTTCATCGGCATGGTGACGCTGCAGTACCAGGCCCGACAGGTCAGTTGCGAGATACACGTACTGCTTACCTGCAGACATTATTGTGCTTACTTGAATTAGAACTGAACACACAGTATGTTATATTTAGAAGATAAACATACTGTGTTTTAGGTGTAGAGCTAGGTTAACTGTACATATTGTGAATACTCAGCAAGCTAAATTTAACATTATTATATCTACAGGTAACCAAGCTCTCAATTAAAAACACAGTGTTTTAATCTCCATTCTACCATAACTAAATAAAATGCGAAGTTTTTGGTTTTAGCAAATATATTGATTCAAGTGGCATGAGTTGAGTCCAGTGTATTGAGTGGGTTGTTGATCTCAAGTACAGAATCACCACCAATAGCCTTTAAACAAAATATGGTGCTGTATATGCTCAATCACTTTTATTACATCGTAATACTTAACTTGAACATATGACCAGCATTGGAAGCATGTAGCACACAGCCATGAAGTGGGCGCCCTGAAGAAAACTAAGCATACCTTGCAAGGTTTCGCTCTGCACCTCACGTCACTTTTATGACGTCATGTCACTCATGGTGACACAAAAGACATAACATCACAGTCATATGTAGAAAAGCGTGAGATTTCAAGCTCTCAGTTGTCCCCAAAACTTGAAATACATTCTTTTAGTTGATTTATATTGTGTTTTCTGCACAAAATGCATTGCCACCCTCCCTTTGAATATTGTAGTAACTGCAGTATGTATTTTGTAGCCTATAATGGTTCATATGATCATTTCAGAATGGAAAGGATTACTTCTCTGTAAATAGTAGCTTCCATAGTGATACGGATGTATTGCCTGTTTAAATCAGAGAAGGTTTATTCTGATTAGACAATCTCAGATTGACTGATCAGAATCTATTAATTTCCAAGTTTGTGGTAGAATATAACCTAAACAGTGAGTCGGTTGGCTTTAACAACGGTTTATCAGTATTTCAGTTACATATTATGTCGTCTAATACTGCTGTGGCATGCAACATTGGTGCAAGCTTTAATCCTGTCAATTTGTGCTCATGTGGCCTCATTAATCTACAGTGGAACAAGGATATAACGAATACGGATAGAGCAAACGGATACAAAAACTATAAAAATCTCCAATTTATCTCCTATATATTATCATATAAAATTTATGTACATCACAAACTCTCTACAGAGAACTAACGTATTTAGCGAACTGAGAAATCTCACTCAGTGTCAAGTGTCACTGACAATTGGCTGCATGCAATCAGACACAATCAACAAAATTGCGGCGAATCAACACAATCACTGGTAATGATTCAACGTTGTTAAACTAATCTTGTCTGTAAAACAAACAAATTTCATTCAATATTTACATTAATTTCGGTGAAATTGTGTGTGAAGTGATCGGTAGATCGCACAACTCACCGTTATTTACAGGAACCACGGTCATGGATACATATATCATAAATGCCATACTTTGACTCGTTAAAAGTCATATTTGAGGCAGTTTGACCATTAAATGTCAACATAACGTTTTCGCAACGAACAACGTATATAACAAACTAATTTCTCCAGTCCCTTGTAGTTCGTTATATCCATGTTCTACTGTACTTTGTGCATTCAGATTTTTAGACATCTTGGGCCAATAAATGTCATTTAAATGTCCCCAGTCCTGATGTGATTGAATGTAACCTTGTTCTTAGCATGTGTTTGTTATATCTTGCAGGAGATAGTACAGCTTATCGAAAAACTTGAAAATGCTTGCATAAGATTTGTCCACTTCTCCAAGGAGAATGAACTGCGAAGCAGGGTAAATATCGTTACAGTTTCTGTAGTGAAAGAATTCCAGGGTATGCAGATATTCCACTTTGCTGAAGAGATAAGGCTTCAGTTAATGTTTCAACATGCAAATGAAAACCCTAAAAATAAATTATTCTTGAAAGTCAGATGCTTGTGTGACAGTTGCTGTACCAAGCTTTTTTGATGTCTGAGTCTGTGATGAAGCTTAGATAAGTCAAACCTGACCTAACCTAAGATGATGTCTGGAAATTAAGGCTTAAAAAGAGAAAAGAATTGGTTCTCAGGCAGTGACTTTTGAAAATAGAGTGCGTGCGTTTTTAAAAATTTTTTTTACTTGTTCGAACTAGTATGTAACCAAATAAACAGTTGTGTACCATCAAATTTGGAAAGGGCCTCCCTACATAAACAAGCATACAAACTCCTATTGCTGCCATGACCATAACACGAGCAGTGAGCATGTAAAGGGAAGTAACTGTGTGCTATATTGGATCGCATTGTTTTTAAGTATTAGGATTTTTGTATTTTTAAAAAAAATGAAAAAACCCCGAAATATCTGGCAGACTTTATGATGATGGTGGTGCCTGAGAACCTGAGAACTTTTTTAGCCTCATGTAGAACATATATGATGACTAGCTTTCAAATGACTGATTAATTTGGTAAATTGGTTCCAGTACTGTGTAAATAATGTTTACAACTGCTGATGATTTATTTCCTAACAAACTGTGTTTGATGGTAGGTATTTTCAGAGAAGATGGGATTGGAGGCAGGCTGGAACTGCCACATCTCTCTCATGTCACATGACAACTTTAAACTTGAGGGCAACATGTCTGGGCCGGAGTCAGTCTGTCACGGCGATGTCTCCCAGCGACCCTCTCACCATTCCAGCCGCCATTCCACCGACGACCTTGGGCGTGACACAGCTGGGAATGTGACCTCCAAGGCACAGTCTGCAACTGATGCAGTGTGCTCGAGAAGCTTCAGTGCTCCTAGTATCATAAACCTGGAGGAGACCCAGGTGAAGTTTGACGTGGACAACATCTCCATCAAGGAGGATCAGTGTACTGTGACCATCAAGGAGAACTCCCCTGTGGTTGTGTCCGGGGACAAGGAGCTTGATGAGGAGGAGGAAGAGGAGGAGGGAGAAGGGGAGGGGGAGTCGCAACGACTCATGTCACCGAAACGACAGCGGGGCTGGAGTTCCAGTGACGATGATGCTGAGGGAGAGACAGATTTCCAGTCTGACAGCCGCTATACCTCAAGTTACGTGACTGACAACACTGATGATAGTCTCACAGGGGCTCTGGATAATAGGGTGAGTGGCATGCATTGTTACAGAGATTAAACAAGAACATTATACAGGGATGAGAATCTTCTGTGGATCCGCAAATTTTAGTGACCACAAATTTGTTAAAATATGATGGCTTCCCCCATAAACACCCCAAAATTATGGACCACGCTCCATTGCAAAGAAGTTTCAGCTGAAAAGGAAAATATCCATCCTATCTCCCTGATTATAAGGATTCAGCAGCAACTAATTTTGACTGTTATGTATAATCATTTCATGAAATGATGTATGGTCCTAATGTTCACTTTCATGACATGAACAGACTAGGTTAAAGAGAGCACACAGAATGGAGAAATTCTTACACAGATGCCAAAAAGTGGTACTTAACGTAAGAAACTTTCCTTAACTTCGTTGGCAAACATTAATAGTATTTTATGTTGAATTCATGTTATTATGGAAAGCCCCCAAAATATATGGATTGTATCTGCAAGATAGAGGAAGGGAGGTAACCCCAGCTACAGAATTAGTTTTGCTGGTCCTTGAAGTGCATGATTCTTTCTTTCTTGCTTTGATTCTAAGGCCAATACCCCAAAGTTAAGTTAAACAGTAAACTATGTTTATAACGAACACGCTTATAACAAACTTACGGATATAACGAACAGTTTGTTTGGTCCCGGACATTTGTTGTATATTTTTTCATATAAAATTCATGGAAATCATGAACACGCTTGTAATGAAATAACAAATATAGCAAACTCACCTTGTGGTACCTTGTGTACTCTGTCGACGATAATGATTAAGTGTATAACGCACTGTTTATCCCTGAGCTGAGCTGAGCTCCTCAAATCTGCCTATCCGTGGCCAAACGCGGCTGTTCTAAGCGACAATAAACAAATAAAGGCAATTGATTTACTCTTTAAGTACCAACACCTTTGCCCTCAAGATTTTTTATGAATATACATAGTACATGTACACTCTTGTTGTTTATCGAGTAACATGATGTGGTGATGTGACTTGATCCAAGATGTCTGCCGGTCGAAATGTGTATAACGAACAACGGATATAATAAACTACAATAAATGGTCCCTTTGAGTTTGTTATAACCGTAGTTTACTGTACTATCATTACTTGTTAAGGAATCTGATTGTCCCGGTCACTCTCCTGTAAAACTCTATACAAATCGGTTCGCCAGCATGTGCGGGTATTATTACGTCAATACGCTTGATGCGTGTCTGGTTGTCTTGTCAGTTACCATGTGAAAGTATGATGGCAGTCACAAGATAGATCTAACTGTCACAGACAAATATTTCACCGAATATAATTCTTTGTTATGTGTACTCATAGTGTTAATGTGTCGCTAGCATTGTCTATGGTTTTTTACGTGCTGATATGTAGTGGGACACAAACTTCTAAGATCCGGTTCATCCCACAGTTGACACTTGCAAGTCATTATGCCAACCAGTATGTGCATATTTTGTAGTGTTTAGTTAACGGATTTCAGTCTTGTTGCAGGGTATGAAACTTTCCCCAAAATTTCAGCCAGACCACAGGACTGGCTAGCTGAAATACTTGCCAGCCCTGACCAAAACCTGCCTGCCCACTATAATCATATGTTTCTGAGGATAAGCCAACGGGGTTTCTTTTTGGTTACATTTTATCATTCATCTTTACATGTGAATTAATGCTTATCATTGGGAAATATTTAGAATATTTTCACATATGAAATATAACCCGACCATCGGGCAGGGGGATTTGAAAATCTTGCAGCCCGAGTTGAAATCAACCCGTCTCGGACGGTCGGGCAGGCAGGTATTTCGAACACTGCTTGTTGTATCATAAAATCGAAAGAAAGTGGATAAGTTTGGGTTAATGTACTCAAAAACATTTTGAACAAGGTGGTAGAAAATAGTCTTTTGGATGCTTAAAGTTGTTTATGTCTCAATCTCATTATGATCAGAAATTAGTTCTCGTTACGGCTAAACAAAAATATGAGGACATCCCATTACGGGTCTAACAAATTTTGACTGACCAATGGAATGACTGACAAGAAGTCAACATTAGCCAATCAGAGGGAAGCTTTCTCAAGCTTTACGGCACTAGTTTCAAACTGGCAACTACGCTTTGAAACATATTTTGAAAAAGTCTCGATTAAAAATTTGTAAAAGGAAGAAACTAACACTCAGGAATGGCTAATAGACGGCCTAAATTGTATGGACTGAGTCATAAAGCTCAACACTGCTTTATCATTATGAGGAAAAGTGTGCATTATAAACAAGAAAACATGGTATCTGTACTGTCTTTCTTCACTTGATGCAGGCAAAGCTACCAAGAGGTATTGAGAATATCCGCCCCCACCTGGCCAGCACCGACAACGTCCCCCTCCTAGTCAACCTCTTCACGGACTGCACACCTGAAGGTAGGGAAAGTGAGCTGATAGGTTTCCAGGAGTAGGGAGTGAGTGAGTCAGTGAGCAAGTCAGTGATTGAGTTTGATCAAATGCTGCCTTGAACTGTATTTCAGTTGTGTCACAGGGTACTGGTTTTGTATGGGTGGTAAGTCCGACCTGATGCAAGTTTTAGACTTTTATCACTTTGTTGAAACCCATGAGCTCTGATATGGTGGTTACTAACCAGTGATCATTATTTGGGCAAATCCGTGTCACTGGAATTATGGCATGCCTAAGGGACATAACTCTGTGGATAAAGTATGAGAGGGCAGAAATAATATGAGCTAGATATTTCTTCTCACTGGATTAATACTGAAGTCTCTAATGCAATCTTTTTTATGACAGCAACCCAGGAAATGATGAAGATCATGCAGGAGAATGGGGAGGTGGTGCTGTGTATGGGCAGCTGTGCCAACATCCAGAACACTCCTCTCTTCCTGCAGGCAGATTGTAGGTGAGTACAGGTATATAAGAGAGATTGTAGGTGAGTACAGGTGTACTGGAGGAGATTGTAGGTGAGTACACAGGTGTACTGGGGGAGATTGTAGGTGAGTACAAGTGTGGGGGGGAGATTGTAGGTAAGTACACAGGTGTACTGGGGGAGATTGTAGGTGAGTACAGGTATACTGGGGGAGATTGTAGGTGAGTACACAGGTATACTGGGGGAGGTTGTAGGTGAGTACAGGTATACTGGGGAGATAGTAGGTAAGTACACAGGTATACTGGGGGAGATTGTAGGTGAGTACAGGTGTACTGGGGGAGATTGTAGGTGAGTACAGGTATACTGGGGGAGATTGTAGGTGAGTACAGGTATATTAGGTAGATTGTAGGTGAGTACACAGGTGTACTGGGGAGATTGTAGGTGAGTACAGGTATACTGGGGGAGATTGTAGGTGAGTACAGGTGTATTAGGGAGATTGTAGGTGAGTACACAGGTGTACTGGGAGAGATTGTAGGTGAGTACACAGGTGTGGTGGGGAGATTGTAGGTGAATACAGGTGTATTAGGGAGATTGTAGGTGAGTACACAGGTGTACTGGGGAGATTGTAGGTGAGTACACAGGTGTACTGGGGGAGTTTGTTCCCTGAGTACAAGTGTACTGGGGAAATTGTAGGTGAGTACACAGGTGTACTGGGGAGATTGTAGGTGAGTACACAGGTATACTGGGGGAGTTTGTTCCCTGAGTACAGGTATACTGGGGGAGATTGAAGGTGAAATTCTTTTGAAAGCTTTATTAAATTCCTCTCACTGATTTATTGATATGAGTCAATATACATTGTGATCACTTCCAACATAATGATATTATAGTGAAAGCTTCTGTTGTTCATTTGCAGTTTCTCCCTTGAGCCTCTGTACCCACAAGTGTGTGCCAAGCAGCGGGTGATGGTAGAACCATGGGATGAGGACAAGCCGACCCCCATGCAGATAGCAAGTGCCCTGATCAGCATGCCCTGTCCCCTGTCCTTCAGGAGGGACGACAATGTCAGTCTAGTACAACTCATTGCAGAGGTAGGTCACAACCACACCTGACCTCATGATCCATCACAACCCACCTGTGTTAATGATCCATCACAACCCACCTGACCCCACGATCCATCACAACCCACCTTTGTTAATGATCCATCACAACCAACCTGTTACTCATGATCCATCTCAACCTCACCTGAGCTAATGATCCATCACAACCCACCTGTGTTAATGATCCATCACAACCCACCTTTGCTCATGATCCATCTCAACCCACCTGTGCTAAGGATCCATCTCAACTCACCTGTGCTCATGATCCATCTCAACCTCACCTGAGCTAATGATCCATCACAAGTTACCTGTGCTCATGATCCATCTCAACCTCACCTGAGCTAATGATCCATCAAAAGTTACCTGTGCTAATCATCCATCACAACCCACCTGTGTTAATGATCCATCACTACCCACATGTGCTAATGATCCATCTCAACTCACCTGTGCTCATGATCCATCTCAACCTCACCTGAGCTAATGATCCATCACAACCCACCTGTGCTAATCATCCATCTCAATCACACCTGAGCTAATGATCTATCACAACTTACCTGTGCTAATCATCCATCACACCAGAGGTCATGTTCCATCTACAAGTGGTGTCATTTTACACTTTCTTTTCATATTGCCAAAGGGGCGGTCGGGTAGCCTGGTGGTTAAAGCGTTCGCTCGTCACGCCGAAGACCCGGGTTCGATTCCCGACATGGGTACAATGTGTGAAGCCCATTTCTGGTGTCCCCCGCCATGATATTGCTGGAATATTGCTAAAAGCGGCGTAAAACCATACTCACTCACTCACTCACTCACTCACTCATATTGCCAACATTTTGTGAGGTGACTGAAATGTTGTTAAAAGTCACATTGGAGTCTCTCTCTCAGCAATGTTAATAACAAAGTGTGTGTATTTCAGGCCCGTCACTTCACCCAGGCAATGAGGAACTGTTTCTACCTGATGTTGTGTTTCCACCTGTCACTGACCCTGACCCAGGTGCTGGCCAGCATACTGCTGCTGCCCCCCACGTTGGACACCCGCCACCTGCTGTGGCTCCTCCTGGTGGTCATCCCACTCCTCAGCCTTACCCTCATGGGCAACCCCGTTGACCCCCGCATCATGACCATGGCCACTCGCAAGAACAAGGACCATGTCAACGGAGAGGTCAGTCATGTCTTCCTTCCTCTTGTCTTTCTGCAATACAGTTAATAATGTATTTTCACATGATGAATTCGATGTTTGTGTAGAGCTTTGACCACATGTTTCGGCAAGAATGCAGTTTACCTCAAGTTTTTCCAATGCCTTTTTTGTCACTTCACTAAAATAACAGCAGGTAAATATGATATTTAATTACCAAAGTTATACAAAATATCTTGTTGAAATGTGGCCCCGATTGATGTCATTAGTAAGGCTGTCACACATCGTTATGGAACTTCTATTTTCGTGTACTTTTTCGATGTTGACGTCCAATTTCTTTTATGTTTAAGGATTGCTTTGATATTCAAGTTCAAGGTGTAATCATATTAGCCGTTTAAGCGCAAGCAGAATGATTTCTTCTGCTTGGTTTGTGCTTTATCGCCCTACTTTTCAAATAGTGATACTGTCATATGTGGCAATAGCCATATTTTTCAAATAGTGATGGTGTCATATGCGGCAATAGCCCTATTTTTCACATAGTGATGGTGTCATATGCGGCAATATTACTATCATCAATGCATGTGTACCGTGTTTCATGTATGACTAGGCCTTTGACCTCACCCCATGCTTTTTTTAATATTTAATACCTCTGAACCAAATAATTTTAAAAAAGGGCTAATTATAATACTTTCTTAGAAAGCTTGAACATTGAACTGAACGGGCATGCGGTCAAGATATACCAAGGAATTTCGACCGACTATCCATAGTATATCCGTCCTTCTGATTATATTTTGTGTGTGCAACCTATAACTTGAAAACTATTGAATTGATTCTTTTCAAACTTGGTGAACCTTTTCTATGGCAATAAGAGAAGTCCAGTGCGAAGTTTGTTTTAGTAAAAAAATACATTTTTAAACATTTGTGCGACCTATAACTTGAAAAAATACTTAATGGATTCGTTTCAAATTAAGGGAATAGTTTCCATACTAATAAAAGGGGTATAGTGCAAAGTTTAAATTTGATATATGTATTTTCTGAAAGTTTTGAATTTAGAATCATTGTTTTGCTTCAACATTTGAGCGACCTATAACTGGGAAACTGCTTTATGGATTCTTTTACAATTGGGGGTACAGTTTTTATAACAAAAGGAGAGTTGCTGTGCAAAGAGGTGTATTTTCTGAAAAAATAAAATTTTTTCATGTTTTGAACTTAGACGAGTCAAGGTCAGGGGTATAAGTGAGTCCTGCACACTTTTTGCTTGTTTCGTGCTTATTGCTGTGAAATTTCTAACTATAAACATTTCAATTCCACTCAAACCCTAGACATATTTGGCTTACATTATACAACATCAGTGAATTATTGAAAGCAAGGAAATAGGAATTTGTTTTTTGGTTCCAGATGCTTGGGCAGTATATTGTGCAGTTTAGCCTGAGGTTCCTGCCATCTGTGATAGTCCCCCTGCTGTGCTACGGCCTGACTCTGAACTCCTTCTGTCATACGACCCCCAACGTCACATGTGCTGTCTATACATTCAGGTAGGTACTGTGTCCTCCAGGTACTTGTCTAGTCATAGGACCACCACTGTCACATGTGCTGTTGTGCATTCAGGTAGGTCCTGTGTCCTGCAGGTACTTGTCTAGACATAGGACCACCACTGTCACATGTGCTGTTATACATTCAGGTAGGTCCTGTCTCCTGCAGGTACTTGTCTAGTCATAGGACCACCACTGTCACATGTGCTGTTGTACATTCAGGTAGGTACTGTGTCCTGCAGGTACTTGTCTAGTCATAGGACCACCACTGTCACATGTGCTGTTGTACATTCAGGTAGGTCCTGTGTCCTGCAGGTACTTGTCTAGACATAGGACCACCACTGTCACATGTGCTGTTATACATTCAGGTAGGTCCTGTCTCCTGCAGGTACTTGTCTAGTCATAGGACCACCACTGTCACATGTGCTGTTGTACATTCGGGTAGGTACTGTGTCCTGCAGGTACTTGTCTAGTCATAGGACCACCACTGTCACATGTGCTGTTGTACATTCGGGTAGGTACTGTGTCCTGCAGGTACTTGTCTAGTCATAGGACCACCACTGTCACATGTGCTGTTGTACATTCAGGTAGGTCCTGTGTCCTGCAGGTACTTGTCTAGACATAGGACCACCACTGTCACATGTGCTGTTATACATTCAGGTAGGTCCTGTCTCCTGCAGGTACTTGTCTAGTCATAGGACCACCACTGTCACATGTGCTGTTGTACATTCGGGTAGGTACTGGGTCCTGCAGGTACTTGTCTAGTCATAGGACCACCACTGTCACATGTGCTGTTGTACATTCGGGTAGGTACTGTGTCCTGCAGGTACTTGTCTAGACATAGGACCACCACTGTCACATGTGCTGTCTATACATTCAGGTAGGTTCTTTGTCCTGCATGTACTTGTCTAGACATAGGGCCACCACTGTCACATGTGCTGTTGTACATTTAGATAGGTACTGTGTCCTGCAGGTACTTGTCTAGACAAAGGACCACCACTGTCACATGTGCTGTCTATACATTCAGGTAGGTACTGTGTCCTGCAGGTACTTGTCTAGACATAGGACCACCACTGTCACATGTGCTGTTATACATTCAGGTAGGTACTGGGTCCTGCAGGTACTTGTCTAGTTTTAGGACCACCACTGTCACATGTGCTGTCTATACATTCAGGTAGGTACTGTGTCCTGCAGGTACTTGTCTAGTCATAGGACCACCACTGTCACATGTGCTGTCTATACATTCAGGTAGGTACTGGGTCCTGCATGTACTTGTCTAGACATAGGGCCACCACTGTCACATGTGCTTTGTACATTTAGATAGGTACTGTGTCCTGCAGGTACTTGTCTAGACAAAGGACCACCACTGTCACATGTGCTGTTATACATTCAGGTAGGTACTGTGTCCTCCAGGTACTTGTCTAGTCATAGGACCACCACTGTCACATGTGCTGTTATACATTCAGGTAGGTCCTGTCTCCTGCAGGTACTTGTCTAGTCATAGGACCACCACTGTCACATGTGCTGTCTATACATTCAGGTAGGTACTGTGTCCTGCAGGTACTTGTCTAGTCATAGGACCACCACTGTCACATGTGCTGTTGTACATTCAGGTAGGTTCTGTGTCCTGCAGGTACTTGTCTAGTCATAGGACCACCACTGTCACATGTGCTGTTGTACATTCGGGTAGGTAATGGGTCCTGCAGGTACTTGTCGTCTAGTCTAGTCATAGGACCACCACTGTCACATGTGCTGTTGTACATTCGGGTAGGTACTGTGTCCTTCAGGTACTTGTCTAGACATAGGACCACCACTGTCACATGTGCTGTTGTACATTTAGATAGGTGCTGGTCCCTGCAGGTACTTGTCTAGTCATACAGATACATCAAGCTTGTCTACTGATCTGATATGTGTCTCTATTACAGTACAAGCTTCGGGTCTAGTTCTGTGTATTTTTATCTCTCTGTGATTATGTCAGATGTAGCCTTGAGGAACAAAACTAATCTAATGAAAAATTAGGTGATAGAAAAACAAAGTGTGTGGGTGGTCATCCTGTTTATATCCTGCAAATTAGACTTGTGCCCTGAAGCTGTTGGGAAGTGATGATTTCCTGATTGCTGGGAGCCCAGGAAAAATTAATTTCTTTTCCAGGCATAAACCTGGCTGGTACCTTTGATAACCACTCCTTCTGTTCTCAAACTCTGAAGACATGCATAATTTTGACGATTGAATGACAATTTTTGAATGATTGTTAAACCATTTACATGTAATGTGCTTCATTTGTTTCAGTGATGGAGGAAATCAGACTGTTTTTCACAACTGGTATGAAAAATACTCAGGAGGGATAATCCTTGCTCAAAATATACTTCTCTTCCTGCTGGTATTTTACTTTGGTGAGTATAGGATTCCTAAGTGGACATCTTGTTGATGCAGCAGGGATGCATATGCACCTGCTCAGCATGCCAACCGTGCAGAGAATAGGTCTTCAGCAACCCATCATTGCCGTAAAAGGCGACTATGCTTGTCATAAGAGGCGACTAATGGGATCGGGAGGTCAAGCTTGCTGACTTGGTTGATGCATGACATCGTATCCCAATTGCCTGGATCGATGCTCATGATGTCAATCACTGGATTGTCTGGTCCAGACTCGATTATTTACAAACCGCCGTCATATAGCTGGAATATTGCTGAGTGCGGCATTAAACAATAAACAAACAAACAATGCTCAGCATGCTTAGAGGCAGATGTCGATAATAATTCCCAAATTAAATATGTTAATGAAGTTATAACTAATGTTATGGCTTTGTTGAGGTGACTTGTATTTCACTGACAACAGGACCAATAAAGAGGAAGAGGCCTTAATGCTTAGTTTTGCATGATTGCACTGAAAACACAATTAGAATTACATGTCAAAATACCTCAGAATTTAAGAAACTATAAACTAAATTGGACAAAATAACGTTTTCTTACCAATTTGCCTACCAGAATTCTAGACAAATCCATGTCATGATTGTGATGTCACATTAACAAGGAGATGAGATCCATCGGATGTATCTTTATTCTGTTTAATGTAAGGCTGTTTGATTAATATTTTTTGCAGTAAGGCTCAACAGATTATAAACCATTCCATTGCTACAATACCACAAGTAAACCATTCCATCATGACAATACCACAAGTAAACCATTCCATCGCCACAATACCACAAGTAAACCATTCCATTGCTACAATACCACAAGTAAACCATTCCATTGCTACAATACCACAAGTAAACCATTCCATCATGACAATACCACAAGTAAAGCATTCATCGCCACAATACCACAAGTAAACCATTCCGTCATGACAATACCACAAGTAAGCCATTCCATCGCCACAATACCACAATTAAACCATTCCATTGCTACAATACCACAAGTAAACCATTCCATTGCTACAATACCACAAGTAAACCATTCCATCATGACAACACCACAAGTAAAGCATTCATCGCCACAATACCACAAGTAAACCATTCCGTCATGACAATACCACAAGTAAACCATTCCATCGCCACAATACCACAATTAAACCATTCCATTGCATCAATACCACAATTAAGCCATTCCATTGCTACAATACCACAAGTAAACCATTCCATTACATCAATACCACAAGTAAACCATTCCATCATGACAATACAAGTAAACCATTCATCGCCACGGTACAACAATTAAGCCATCCCATCGCAGCAATACCACAAGTAAACCATTCCATCATGACAATACCACAATTAAGCCATTCCATTGCCACAATACCACAATTAAGCCATTCCATTGCCACAATACCACAAGTAAAGCATTCATCGCCACAATACCACAAGTGAACCATTCCGCCATGACAATACCACAAGTAAGCCATTCCATCATGACAATACCACAAGTAAACAATTCTATTGCCACAATACCACAAGTAAACCATTCCATCATGACAATACCACAATTAAGCCATTCCTTGCCACAATACCACAATTAAGCCATTCCATTGCCACAATACCACAAGTAAACCATTCCATTGCATCAATACCACAAGTAAACCATTCCATCATGACAATACCACAAGTAAGCCATTCCATCGCCACAATACCACAAGTAAACCATTCCATCGCCACAATACCACAAGTAAACCATTCCATCGCCACAATACCACAAGTAAGCCATTCCATCATGACAATACCACAAGTAAGCCAATGCCACAATACCACAAGTAAACCATTCCAGCATGACAATACCACAAGTAAACCATTCCATTGCCACAATACCACAATTAAACCATTCCATTGCCACAATACCACAAGTAAACCGTTCCATCGCCACAATACCACAAGTAAGCCATTCCTTGCCACAATACCACAATTAAGCCATTCCATTGCCACAATACCACAAGTAAACCATTCCATTGCATCAATACCACAAGTAAACCATTCCATCATGACAATACCACAAGTAAGCCATTCCATCGCCACAATACCACAAGTAAACCATTCCATCGCCACAATACCACAAGTAAACCATTCCATCGCCACAATACCACAAGTAAGCCATTCCATCATGACAATACCACAAGTAAGCCAATGCCACAATACCACAAGTAAACCATTCCATCATGACAATACCACAAGTAAACCATTCCATTGCCACAATACCACAATTAAACCATTCCATTGCCACAATACCACAAGTAAACCGTTCCATCGCCACAATACCACAAGTAAGCCATTCCATCACCACAATACCACAAGTAAACCATTCCATCGCCACAATACCACAAGTAAACCATTCCATCGCCACAATACCACAAGTAAACCATTCCATCATGACAATACCACAAGTAAACTATTCCATCGCCACAATATCACAAGTAAACCATTCCATCGCTGCAATACCACAAGTAAACCATTCCATCATGACAATACGACAAGTAAACCATTCCATCGCCATAATACCACAAGTAAACTATTCCATCGCCACAATACCACAAGTAAGCCATTCCATCATGACAATACCACAAGTAAACCATTCCATCATGACTACCACAATTAAGCCATCCCATCGCAGCAATACCACAAGTAAACCATTCCATCGCCACAATACCACAAGTAAACCATTCCATTGCCACAATACCACAAGTAAACCATTCCATCATGACAATACCACAAGTAAGCCAATGCCACAATACCACAAGTAAACCATTCCGTCATGACAATACCACAAGTAAACCATTCCATTGCCACAATACCACAATTAAACCATTCCATCGCCACAATACCACAAGTAAACCGTTCCATCGCCACAATACCACAAGTAAGCCATTCCATCACCACAATACCACAAGTAAACCATTCCATCGCCACAATACCACAAGTAAACCATTCCATCGCCACAATACCACAAGTAAACCATTCCATCATGACAATACCACAAGTAAACTATTCCATCGCCACAATATCACAAGTAAACCATTCCATCGCCATAATACCACAAGTAAACCATTCCATCATGACAATACGACAAGTAAACCATTCCATCGCCATAATACCACAAGTAAACTATTCCATCGCCACAATACCACAAGTAAGCCATTCCATCATGACAATACCACAAGTAAACCATTCCATCATGACAGTACCACAATTAAGCCATCCCATCGCAGCAATACCACAAGTAAACCATTCCATCGCCACAATACCACAAGTAAACCATTCCATTGCCACAATACCACAAGTAAACCATTCCATGGCCACAGTACCACAATTAAGCCATCCCATCTCAGCAATACCACAAGTAAACCATTCCATTGCCACAATACCACAAGTAAACCATTCCATGGCCACAGTACCACAAGTAAACCGTATTTAAAAGAAGAGTATGAAAACATTCCTTCCTGTCATGATTGTTGATCAGCTTCAGTACATGTAGATGGGTTGGGTTTGTGTTACTTGTGAATGACCCTGTGCCCCTGTTGTGTTGCAGCCTGCATATCAATGAGCTTCGTCCACTGGTCAGATCATCTCTGGAAGAAGCTTCCATTTACAAATAAACTGTGGTCAATAGTTACACCCACACTGTAAGTATGCATTCCATTTTACTGTCTAATCTGGTATGGTTGTTTCTTCAGATTCTCCAATGGAGCTCAGCATTAATTGTCACAAATCCCGATGAAAGGGATCTTTTGACCACACAGTGACAGGAACCTCATGACCACGTTTTTGCATCTTCCCAAGGCAAGAGTGTTAACTGACTATAAAAGTCCAGTTTCCACCCTTGCCAAACAAGGCTGGTATTATGGAGTTACATTTTGTCTGGACTAATGAGTCTATGCATAGTCCAATCAAAATCGCGCACCGAAATCAAAATCCGGTTCGTAAACTGTTGTGCAGATTTTGATCGATTGCAGGATTTGCAAAGCATGTGCACCGCCAACTCGTTGTTGTTTTTAATCAAGGTGCACACATGATTTGATGCATTTCACGATGAAAGACCTGTTTGATCACAATATAGATCTTGATTATCGATCAGATCGTCTTGACTGGGCATCATTATTTTGTGTGAAGCAAACGCAAGTGATACGAGAGTTAGTATCTGAGTGGTCCATAGGAGAGGCTTAGAAGGGACATAACTGGTAATAGCCACTGGTGGCGCTACGATCGAGCTCAGTAATTCCAGCCTAGTTCGGCAAGGATGAAAACTGGACTTTTAAAGTCAGTTAACTCTCTTGCCTCGGGAAGATGCGTTTTTGTGACTAAAGCTGCTATTCAGGACATTTAGAGAGTATGGTCCCAACAACTTGTCATCAGAGCTGACTAATGGTGATCGGTGGCTCGGCGTTCGAAACTTAACCATGGTCCTTGTCACAACCCAAATGTTAAAAGTTGAAAATTATTTTAGTCTCCCAAATTAAATGCCATTGGAGCAAAAATTACCGTAAGGAGCTCAGGAATCCCTTTAATTATGAACACTGGTGGTTACAATGTGTGACTTGTTTGATCCTGTGCCATGTTACCTCATTGTTTGGGATTGGGGCTCATGGCATGGATATTACTGATCCAGACACAATACTGAGCTGCCCTTTGAAACTGGACTGCTTTAAGGTGTTCTTGGAATTTGACTGCAGCTGCTGCCACCAGTGATTTTTCTGTTGTCTACTACCCAATTATTATTGACATTGGAGATTATTCTAACATGGGCGTCTTCCAAATGGCCCTGGGGAAATCCACCTTCTCGTGGGTGAGTGAGTGAGTGAGTATGGTTTTTATGCCGCTTTTAGCAGTATTCCAGCAATATCAAGGCAAGGGACACCAGAAATGGGCTTCACACATTGTACCCATTTCGGGATTTGAACCCGGGTCTTCGGTGTGACCTTCTCATGGATGAAGTACTACTTTGAAATGGTTTTGGGTAACATTAGTCAAAGGGCAAGGTCAGCATTAATGATGTTCGATGGTCAAATCAATGTCGGTTTCTGTGGCATCTTTACCTCTACAGACATGGAACTATTATATGTTACCATGTATCTTGACAAAACTTACAACATCAAGTGTCAATTGCATTTATGTCAAAAGTCAAGGTCATCTTAGAGGTAACTGTGAAAAGTATTTTTATCATTCTTTCTCTTGAATATTGAGCAAAGATTATTGACGTTAGAGGATTTCCTACAATGGAGATATTCCACATGTATCTTGGTACATGCTGAGAAAATCAAAGGTCAAGGTCATGTGATAGAAAAATCTCTTTTAAAAGTTTGTGGTTTCACTATCTCAAAACATTCATTTAATTATGGTGTATTAGCTTGATGTATTCCTTCTCAAAGATGGGGCCCTGCTTTGAAAAGGTTTTGGTCCAAAAAAGTAAAAGGACACATGGTTAGATCATTGTCAGTTTCTGAGGCATGGTCTCCTCTATAGGTGTAAAACTTTTTATTTGTGTATTTGTTTGTTTGTTGTTTAACACCTCAAGTAATAATCGAGCCTGGACCAGACAATCGCATTTGTGTGTAGCTGTACATATCATACCACACGGTATGTTGGTGGCATGTCGGTCAAAGGCCAAGGTCACATTTGGAGTTTAACATGAAACATGGTTCTATGATGTTAACCATGGTTGTATTTTTACTTGTACAGTCGACCCGTTAAGTCCTGGGGTAGAATAGATCTTCAGCAACCCATGCTTGTTGTTTTAGGCGACTAACGGGATCGGGTGGTCAGGTTCACTGACTTGTTTGATACATGTCAATGTATCCCAATTGCATGGATCAGTGCTCATGATGTCAATCACTGCATTGTCTGGTCCAGACTCGATTGCTTACAGACCGCCATCATGTAGCTGGAATATTGCTAAGTGAGACGATAAACAACAAAACTTGTACAGTCCTTAGACATGGGTACTTGTTGGATCTCTAGTAGTTCTCAATATACACTCAATCTACTCTTTGAAAGTGGCTGTCTGAAGGGCTGATTCTGACTTGGTGTAGTAGATTCTGTACATGGTTCTTCTTTCAGATTACTGGTCCAGATAATATATTTTGTGGGTGATGTCGCAGTGCAATCTCGGAGTGCGGTCAACACTTTGTCACTGTCCAGTGTTCACCCTGCTGTGTGGGCACTGGGGATGGGCTGGCCGGTTGTTATTGTCACTATCAATGAACTAGTCAAGAGAAGGGAGATCAAGTAAGTCAGCCGTGTACAGTAATCTGGGAGATATAATTCCTCCTGTACCCCATCCTTGTTTTATAAGGCTTACAAAAATAAAAGAATTGGTAGTCAGGCAATATATTTCATGGGGAAAATGTTCAACATGGGGAAAATTTAAGGATTTTTTTTTTTGAAAATGGAAATAAAAACAAAACGTGCGGCAGACTTAATGATGATGTGGGCGGTGCCTGAGAACCTAGACTATTATTTTTTTAAGCCTTAGGGAAGCTGTTTTGTGACGCTTCTGACCCAGGCAAGCTCCTTACAATATGTGCTGCCCCCGAGGCAAAGTTCCCCTCTGTGATGGGTGGCCACTACTGTGCTTAGAGTTGGAGCTCGCTACAGCAACTGACCAATATGTTCACAGACAATTGATGACTGTTGTGACGCCGAATACTCTTACCCCAGCTAAATTATTTTCTTTGTCAATTTGAAATTCTGTTCCATTTCAGCTATCATGTAATTGGTATAGTAAGAATGTAAGGGGGAAGTTTTCTGTTAGTCTGCAATCTCGACCCAATCTGATTAAACAAATGCGAAGGTAAATTCATCTGGGAAATCTGGGCAGGCATAGACCTTTTAAAATTCACTATGATGGCATTCCCCAAGACATAAACAGAAATAGTTCCATGAAGATTCAGGGCTAGAATCGGTCTTCAGCAACCCATGCTTGTCATAAGAGGCGACCACCAGGATCGGGTGGTCAGGCTTGCTGAATTGGTTGATGCATGTCATCGTATCCCATTTGAGTGGATCAATATTCATGATGTCAATCACTGATTTGTCTGCTCCAGACTCGATTATTTACAGACTGCCGTCATAAAGCTGGAATATTGCGGCATTAAATAACTAACATACAAACATAAACAAAAATAAAACAGAGACTACCTTTGGGGTGAGAGGGAAAATTTCCAGATTCATGTAATGGCCATGACCACATGCACTGACAGCGATGTTACCAAGACTGTGACAAAGTTGTTAAGATCTGGGAAGGACTTTGTGATCCACAGAACTAAGGGACATAACTCATGGGTTTCACCAAAGTGAGGTGACACTTTTTACTTACCCTGATCAAAGTGGCATTGAGTTCCTGTACTGATTACTGAAACAGTAGAACAAATGACCTGTGAATAGCTCTTTAGGAACCCATGCTTGCCGTAAAAGGCGACTATGCTTGTCGTAAGAGATGACTAGCTGGATCAGGTGATCAGGCTTGTCGACTTGGTTGATGCATGTCATCGTATTCCATTTGCATGGATCAATGCTCATGATGTCAATTACTGTATTGTCTGGTTCAGCCTCGAGTGTTTACAGACCGCAGTCATATAGCTGGAATATGGCTGAGTACGGCGTTTAGCAACAAACAAAGTAGATCAATAGCCTCATCAAGTCAGTTCACTCAGTTCAGATATGAGCGGTGCCAAGGTGCCCTCTTGAGCTGTATATCTCTGTAACAAATGGTCACTGTTTGACTGTCCCAGTTGATGTTCTGCACATGTTTGGGTTAATTAAGAATACATTTTATTTTTCAGATTGGCAGTGCGGCATCAGAAAAGAGCACGGTTAGATTTTGGAACCAAATTAGGAATGAATTCTCCATTTTGATGCAGCTGTATAGGATGCCTTTCTTCTGTGACCACAAACTGCCAAACATCTTTCACTTCTTGTCATTCTGTGTGATGGATTTATTGATGAACAGTATTTATTGTCAACTATTTACACTTTTTATGCATTGTATTTTTTAAGTTTCATTGAAGAATGGGGATAGCTTTGAAAACACTCTGTTACAGGCTTTCTTAGTTGTTTGTAATTTTGGACTTATTTATTTTCATTTAGATGATATTCAATTTTAGACTTGCCTGTACCCTGCATGCCTCGTATATGGAAATGTCTCATTCACCCGCACTAATCAAAGGCAAATAAAATCATTTGGTCACATATGTGTATGTGAAATATTTATGTTACCATCGTATGCTTTTGACAACATATATTTTATATGATAATACGTTCATTTTGTGTAATTTGATTCTTAGTTTGAAGAACAAGAAAATGATTGCATTTCTTTTAAAGACCATTATTATGATCATCAAGCAAAAGAAGTAATATCTGTTTTATTTAAAAGAATGTGAACGCATTTTTCATTGATATGACACGACATTAATTACTTCTTTTTTGTTCTTCATTTTCCATGTTTTTTTCCCATACTGACTTGATCATGTTCAGCTTGTGAGTGTAGGGCTGTTTTTGGTACCCCACTTGTAGTGTGTAAGCACTTGTGTAGACCAGCAACTACTGTACTTGTGTCTACAGGTTTTGACCTAGACCTGCTCAGTTGACAATATTCGGCCCTAATTCTGTAGCCAATGGCAGTAAAAAATCCCAAATTGGAACTACAAATTTCCCACATCCTGTAGTTAAGGTTGAAACCAGTGTCATGGCTTTTTCAAGTTGACTTGTGTTTCATGGATAACAGGACCAACATATGGATCGAAAAGGTGTTTGTGCTTAGTTTTGCACTATTACATTAAGTGCAGTGGTTAACTACCTCCTAATTTGAGAAAATACCCACTTTAAAAAACCTCCCGGTTTTGAAAATAATTTTGAGTTTTTCCCAGTTTACCTGGCAAGGGGGCGGTTGGGTAGCCTGGTGGTTAAAGCGTCGAAGACCCTGGTTCGATTCCCGACATGGGTACAATGTGTGAAGCCCAATTCTGGTGTCCCCTGCCGTGATATTGCTGGAATATTGCTAAAAGCGGCGTAAAACCATACTCACTCACTCACTCACTCACTACCTGGCAGGGGAAGTTAGTTTGGAATACTAGATACATCCCAGGCACATACACGCCCACCATTGTGGGTACACTTTTAAGCTATCTGGTGTACAATGTGCAGTCAAAAATTGCAGTACGAACGCCACTGACTTACAATAGCAAAATGGCCACATCGCAGACTTGTTAATAATTCATGGCATTTATAAAATATTTATTCATTCTTTGATAACTAAGGTTGGTTTTAAGGTGCCAATGATAGTAATTTGATTGTTATTGCTGAAATTAATGGTTTGTGTGTTTTTTTTCTGGCCAGTTCACATAGACTTCAATCAATGTTAATATACGCAATATTGAAGAAATTATGAATATATTTAATGAATTTGAATAAAACTTTTGTCTAGAAATCCACTGAACACTTTTGATACAAACTTGTGTAGTGACAGGACTAGCTGACATACTCCACTATGAACCTGTTGACGTATGTTATCTCCACTGTTTCATGCTGCTGCTTTAACTCTCGGTAAAAACAATGAAAACTGCCCCCACTAAACAGCTGTATTTTTGAGGAGAAAAATGTGTATTGTTATTCAGCTATTAGTAGTTAGTAGTAATAAGCTAGATAGCCTGTGTAGAGAGGACTCCCATTAAGTCAGAACATTTCTTTAAGGACATACCAGTACATTTTTTAAACTTTAAGATAAAAAAAGTTTATCTTATACTACTCAAAAGAAGTTAAGGACCACCTGATTCTGTCATAATACTACAGTTCATCAGTCCGTGATGGCATGCCAGATTAACGATAGTAATATGAGTGAGTGAGTGAGTTAGGTTTAACGCCGCTTTTAACAGTATTCCAGTTATATCGCGGCGTGTCAGCTTAATGTGGGAGGAAAGCCCGAAGTGATGCAGGTCTCAGACGTTAACCACTTCGGTGAAACCCATGAGCACGGGTATGGTGCTGACAAACCTAGAAACATAATCGGGGCGAAGATAGTAATATGAAAGATCAGGTGCTCCTTAACTTCTTTTGAGTGGGATTGATTACCTTGTGACCCGATGAGGTTACAGTGACATGGCTGTAATATAACTGATTGTGCTGACAACAACCTCACACTTTCTCAAATCAATAGCTAATTTAGGACCAGCTAACTATCAATGGAATTTCTATTTATTTTTAAATAGGATTTTATTTTTTTATTATGAGGAAGACAACGTTTCGGAGTATAGGCTTATTCCTTCATCAGGTGAATGACCATCTGATGAAGGAGTAAGCCTATACTCAGAAACGTTGTGTTCCTCATAATAGAGAAGTTGGCATCCATAAATTTTCTTCCTTATATGTATCACTTCTAAATGCTTTTCAAAGATTTTAATTTTGTAGTGAACTGATGTAAATGAGTACCGCCATGTAATGAGGATGTATGTTCTATATAGATGTGAAATGGGTATCTCCGCCTGTCCTGCTTCAGATCCGAGTGTTGGTACCCTGGATGGTATTGTTCTCCCGTATTGATGCCTTGAGAATTTACATTGATGATACAGATCAGGATACACCTACCAATGTATCAGCTCAAGGTTTGAAGGCTGTATCGATTTTGTTAAAAAGGAATAATAATAGCTTTGCAGCAACCCAGCTTGAAGACTACCATGACTACTCAGGCTAGTATTATCTTCCTGCATGTCACAACAGAAGGTGCCAAATCCGGTCTTTTGACTCATTAGAAGTCGCTAGAACATGAATACATGACACTTTTGTTTATGGATAACAACTTCTTTGTTCTTTGTAGCGACGTTTCAGGGCTACTTCTTGCATGACGAATGTGCCTGGAGACATTGTTGAAAAGTTTTGTGTCTAATTATCATCCCAGTGAAACACAAACTGGTTGACAGAAACAGTCTCTAGTTAGCCAGGCCACATAGTAAATGTAGAATTTCATGCAAAACAACAGAAATTAAGCAATTCGATAATGTAATGTAATGTGACTCAAATATTGATCTATGTATTACGACAGCCAGGTTGGTGGCTCTGACTTATGGGAGTCCACTCATTTTTATAATTCATATTATGATATATTCTCCAATACAATGCTCACATGTACTGTTCTTTCAAAGATTGATATATTTCTGAGTGACAATGAACACATTCTACATTTTCATATTACGTGTTGTGCTTATATTTTGAAGATATTGACATACCAGCGTGAAGATTTTTATCCAATTTGATATTTGTATACCGGTAATTCCTCAATATTGTCACATAGTTCTGATTCCTACACTGAGTACCCTGTGCCTTGTGTACCTCCTGTTGTTGTAGGCTACTGTCTGCATCTTCCCGAGGCAAGAGTTAACTGACTGTAACAGTCCAGTTTCCACCCTTGCCGAACTTGGCTGGAATTCCTGGGCTCAATCGTTGTGCCACCTGTGGCTATTACGAGTTATGTCCCTTCCATGCCTATCCTATGGACCAATCAGATTCAACCTCTCGTATCAAAATGGCGGCGCCCAGTCAAGATGATTTGATCGATAATCAAGATCTATATTGTGATAAAACGAGTCTTAGATCGTGAAGTGCATCAAATCACGTGCACTTTGAGTAAAAACATAAGAGATTTAGAAAATATCTGTTGACAATGCGTTGGCGGTGCACATGCTTTGCAAATCCTGCAATCAACCGAAGTCTGCATGACAGTTAACAAACTGGATTTTCATTTCATTGCACGATTTTGATTGGACAATACACTGACTCGTTAGTCCAGTCAAAATGTAACCCCATAATACCAGCCTAGTTCAGCAAGGGTGGAAACTCGACCTTGATAGTTAGTTTACTCACTTGCCTCGGGAACTCGCAATAATGGGATATGCTTCATTCTGTCCTGACGGGTGTAATTTCATAGATCATATTTCCTCCCACAGGGATTCTGGTACGCTAGCATCCTATGCTTGTAAGTGGCGGATTACTGAATAGGGTTGTCAGGCTTGGTGACTTGGTTGAATGTGTGTCAAGGTACCCAGGTGTGAATTGTTGCTCATAATATCAATCACCTGTTTGTCCTGACTTGATTAATAACAGGCTGCTGTCATTGGGCTGGATTATTGCTGGGTGTGGAGTTATACAAAAAAACAAACAACCGATTTCGGTTATCTGGACATCCAGTGAATTGGTACTTTTTGATATTTTGGTTTGTCATATCAACTCTATGATAGTCTTATCATGTATTTGTGTAGTTTTTTGAATAACTTGGAAATGTGAATCAAAAAGTAATTTTTATGAATGAGCTTTTGTTTTCATATTGAATCTCAAACTTAGAATACAGTCATCATTTTTAATCCTATGTTGCAATTGTATTGTGATATGTAGTGTATTGTGAACCAAGTATCCCAGCAGCTATTGTAGTAGGACTCCAGTGTATTGGTTGACCCTTAGTGATGTTACACATGATAGAAAAATTTGTATATTACAGTAAACCAAGTTTATAACGAACACGCTCATAACAAACTGAAGGATATAACGAACTATTATTTTGGTCCCGCCATCTGCTGTATATATATACTTACGACAAACCACGGTTATAACAAGCTAAAATTAGTGGTCCCTTTGAGTTAGTTATAACCGTAGATTTCTGTATGTTCCAAATTCTGAAATGAACCTTTACACCATATCATTCTACGGTGGAACCTGTCATGTAATGTTAGTTAACCTAGTCACTTTCATCAGGGTGATTTAATTTGAAAAAACTATTCAGTCTGTGAAACTTCAAGAAGAAATGCTATGGCAATTTAGGAGAGAGAATTGGTTCTCAGACAGGGTGTTATTGAGTATTGATCAGCATCTTCAGTTTTGTGGCCACAACAGCAGAAATATAATTATAACTTCACCGGAGGACGTCAGAACCCACATATCATTACTGTTGTTTAGAAGTATGGTACAGGTGGGAAACTTTGTCTCATCAAATGTGGAAAGAAGTGTTACGTCAACTTACGTGTATGCAGAGATACCATCCATTATGATTTTGGCATAATAGTTATGATTTTGAGCCTCAAATTACTTTATTATGCTTGTCCTCCCCCAAATTACAGTTTTTTACAATTTGTTTCACGAATTGTTTACATGCTTGAAATATCACGGAGATCAAATTGTTAATGCACCGGTGACACAAAGCAGAGACTATGTTGAATAATGAAAGCTATGCGTCCAGTTCACAAAATGTTAAAATATCAATTACTCTGTGATACGAAGTTTGTTGTTCACAAGTCATAGTATTGATAAATCTTTGCAGGTTCAAACAGGTAACTAATGGTACTGTTAAGGCTTAAAAAAATAAATGAATTAGTTCCCAGGCAATGGCTTTTGAACGGGCAGTGTTTTTTTTACATATTTTTTTAGGTTGTTCAAACTAATATGTAACCAAATACACAGTTGTGTAAATCAACCTGGAAAAGGGCCTCCCTACATAAATGAATTCCTTTATGAGTAGAATACTGGACTCCCAGTTGGACCTGGAATATTTAGGAATTTTTTTGTTTTTATAAAAAATGGAAATATAAGTGAAACATACGTCAACCTTTATGATGATGCGGGCGGTGCCTGAGAACCAAGACTATCATTTTTTTAGACTCACTTAATTCTCTCTTACTCCACTGGTTACTCCAAAGCTACTTTCAGGGTGGCATATCTGTGTATGTCAGAATGTTATTTTGACTTGAAGCAGAAAGGTTTGCTGCAATGCTGATTTACTAATAGGCCATGCCTGGGAACCTCTTTTGTTTCTGAACCTAATAGATAGTCTTTTTCTTGTCTCCTGGACAAGGGAGATTGGATGGAAACGTGCTGAGGTTACACCTGAGATAGTTATTGCTAGGTATTTATGTGGTAATCTTTACTCCTGGAAGTCAACTCATTGCCTCAACAATCTGAGAAAAGGCAATCCCTCTGGCCAGTTTGTCAGTTCATTTTCAAAATTAACTAGGTCACAGATTTGTTTGTTATTGAATGATGTGATGATGTTTTTATGTCTTTTTGATTATGCGTGCATTATTTATCATGTTTATGTGGAATCTTTAGATGCTTATATGTCACACAGAAGCATATCTTTACTGAATTTATGCTACTGTACCATTAAGGTATGTTTGTGTTTTTTGTCTGATCTCATTGTTATGTTATCATTTTGGAATTCCTAGTTAGAAATAGTCACCAGTAATCTATACTTGTCCTAAGAGGTGACTAACTGGATTGGGTGGTCATGCTCGGTGACTTGATTGCGCGTTGTCATACCCTGACGACGTGGTTTCGTTCACAAGATCAGTCACTGGTTTGTCTGGTCCAGACTGATATTTTTAACATGCCACTGTCATGTAGCTGGAATATTGCTGAATGTGGCGTTAAGGAACAAACAAATCATTGTAAAGTTAATCCTGCTTACACAGATCTCTATGATAATGATGAAAATGTTGACTTTGAAGAAGACTTTTCGACATAGGCATCAGCAAAATACTGTTTGTTTCTCTTGACGCTGGTAACCCACAAATGTCTTGTGTGCTCAGTTTTCAACCTTTATAGCATTACAAATAAATGTGCCTACCTGTACACTACAGTGGAATCTGTCTAAACTGCGTATGATAGATAGTTTAATCCTGTGTTGAAAGCTGATTGTAATGATAAATTAAAAACAGTGAAATCGGGACCATTAACTTATTCTGGAACTGACAGATCTGGATTAGTCAGAATCTGTTTTTTTACAGATTCCACTGTATGTGAAACCTGACATCGAAATGCTCAATAGTTTTATGAAAGTTGGTGTTAATTCTTTTGTGATGTATCTGCTTATGAATTCAAAGGAACTGTAGAGTTCTAGGTACAGTTTTGAATAACATCTTCAAATGGCAATCACCAAACATCTTGTACTGTGACGTCATGACTGGGACGTTAATGGATCCCTGCAGCTTGTTTCTCTGGTCTCAGAAATACTCAGCAGTTATCTCCCCTAGCTGAGCCCTGATTTCAGTTTTCCTTTCATCTTCATTTTCAGGAAAAGAACTCATTACTCTTGCACAATTAAAGATAACATATAGGTAAACTTTTTTATATATAAATATTTCCTCTATGCCAAAGGATTCTTTGACCATGAGGCAGATTCTGTGGATAGACAAGTGCATGGTCTCCCGTGTTAGAAACTAGCAGCATAATCCGTTGGTGCCATCCAATTTTTATGATTGTGAAGGTATAAGGTCAAGTTCTTTTTATATGTATTTATCATAATTCAGGGGCATATGTTGGTGTTCTCAGAGACCAATATCCGGCCAACATATCCACAAATGTCCATCAAAATTCCTAAATCATTATTAGAAATTCCTACTTCAAGTCCTAATTCAGCTTTAGAGATATTACCGAGTTGCAAGTTTTATACTTAGTTGCCAATTCTTTGCAAACAGTTTTCCAGAAAATCAATGCAAAGACAAACCCACTAAATTACATCTGATTGCCTTGTTGAATTGGCACTGTAATACCTATTTTGGGACTATAGTAGCTGCAATGATTTAGTGATCAAATATATTACTTTTTGATGAAATCATGAATCAGGGCTTGTGATACCCTACAGCCATAGTGACAGTAATCCGTGAATCTTACATCTTGGAGTTTCCTGAAGTGGACCACACAGTCAATGCCTATATGATATGGCCATTATTTAGGCCCATGAATTAATAGGTGTCACAGCAAATTTCAATCAAGGCATTGAAGCACGAAATTGGTTATCAGCTAACTCAAACTTTATGATTACTTAATAAATCTGAGATATTGTCTCATTTTCACATTGGCAACTTCTAGACTGAACATGGGTACCAGACCATGGAGCACTGTGTCACTTTTATGTAGACGTTTCTCAGTCAATGCTGGATCACCGTCTGCAGCCTGGAGGAACGTTGGGGTTTGGCACGTGCTATCATGTGTGATTGGGAGTTATCAAGGTCCCTCGAAATATCAGCCACAAAATGTTTAAATACTTCTCTGCACATTATTTAAAGCTTAAGGTTTTTCAGTTTCTTATTATAGGTTAAAGGAACACTAAGCACAAAATGACTAGTCTATACACCTATGCAACATCTCTTTCTCTTTACTGCTTTTAGTGGTCGATAAAATTATCAGTTTATCTTAAAGGGCAAGTTCACACGGAAATGAACCTATTTTTCTTGTACCTTTTCCAAATTAAAAGTGTTAACCTAGTAGTGTCATAGACAAAAATATAAAAATATCACAATTAACTAGCATATTTTTTGCATTAAAACGATTTATATTTTTCACATTTACCAGGTGTTCTATTTCCATAACAAAAACACCATGGCTTATGCCCCTTGCAATATGACGTCATTGGTGCCAATTGATAAACATTATGACGTCATCATGCTTTGTTAGAGCGGCTTCATGTGGTGTAGGTACAGGTGTGTGA